AGTTATCTGCGCTCACACCCCGGACGCTGGGAGGTGTGGGAGCCGGACACCCCAGGTCCGGGGGAGCTATAAGTCCTAAAAAAGAAGCGCACCCCGAGCGGGCGAGCGCGGGGGCCGGATGATGTATCAAGATCGGGTTACGGTGCGCGTTTGCAGGATCCAGGAAACCATAAAGTAAACACGGGCGGGGTCTCCCCGAGAGGAGGGTTGGTCTGGCGTCTGGGTCTGCGCGCTTTGAGGGTTTCCCCTTACGTTAGAGCGGCGGAGCGCCCCCTCTAGGGTAGAGCCTCTACTCGGTCTCGGGCACCGCACCCGTGCTGCCACAAAGCACAATGTGCTGCCACAAAGCACCACTAGTGATTTCGCGCGGAGGGCGTAGACCGTAGTGAAGTGCTGGGGCGCTCACTGTGTGTTATTCGGGTGGGGATCCATCAGTGGTAAGCGGCTTTAGTCACAGATCCAAGCTCAGACGTTAACTTTGGGCCTAACAGTTGCACTATTGTTGGCTGAAATCCTCAACGTTGTTCAAGTGTTCTCCCCAGCCCAAGCTGTTACTGTTTGTTACTGTTGTTCCTGTTGGTGAGTGGGGGGCTGCTCCAACGTCCGGCGGGGAGGACAGCGTGGAGGAGACGGGATGCAGCCGGGATGCAGCCGGGTACGGCTCGAGGCGGAGAGTGCGACGCCAGAGGGCCGTCTCGAGGGGCCCGTCTGGCGCATCTATGGCCGCGCGCGGAGTGAGCCCTTGCTGCCCTTGCTGCGAGCTGTGTGCGTGGTAGACTTGCGTCAGAAAGGAGAAGATCTTCGTGATCGAGTGGCGCGTGTTTTGCTGCTGCTCGCGCGTCGCAAGCAGCTCGCCTGAGGCAAGCACACGCCGCCGAGGGATCAGCGACTGGGGGCGCTTCGGCGGCGGCGGCGGCAAGCAGCGAGGGTGGGGGCGGGCTTGGCGGCGGCGGCGAGGGAGGTGGTGGCGAGGGCGGTTGCGGCGAGGGGTCGGCGGTGGAAGCTCGCCGGAGAGCGACTTGATCCTCGCGCTCATGTTGTCGTGCGAGGTCCGGAGTGACTGGATCTCGGCACGCAGCGCCGCCTCTTGCGCGCTCGCCTCGGCAGAGTCGAAGGGCTGCGGCGGGTTGGTCGCCTGCTCACAGCTGGAGGCGTGGTGAGAGGCCGGCTCGCCGCGCCCCGGGGCCCGCGGCGGCGGCGCGGCTCGCCGAGCTCGCCGCGGCTCCGCCCTTGTTTGTGACCGGCCGGTGGGAGGACTTGCGCTGAATGAGGCGGAGGTCGTCGTACTGGCCTGAGGGGCGGAGGGCGGGACGCGGGTAGCCGGACTCGTGTGGTCGATGCTCCTCGCCGCGAGCCCGTGAGCCGACGGGGCGGAGGCGGGCCCTGGGCGCCTAATGAAGGGAGGGGCGGGCGGCGCATCGCAACAATGAGGTTGTGGCGGAGAGGGGCGGAGGAGGGCGGAGGAGGCCTTTGCGGAAGTGCACGTGGCCGAAGATCCACGAGTCGGGGTCGACCTGATCATAGTCGGTCATGCTCACAGAAAGAGGGTAGTGGTGAGGTCAGATCCGCTGCTCGGGGTCGGCCTTGGAGAAGCCGTACGTGTTGAGCTGCCGCACCTGCAGACCCGGCAGTGCAGACCCGGCGGTCGGGGGACGGGGCGGTGGGCGGTGCAGACGCGTCTCCTGCGGCGCCGGCGGCCTCGACACGGCCGCGCCCTCGATCCGGCGGTGGGCGGCAGAGGCGGCGCAGCCGCAAGGCAGGGCAGAGGGAGGGGCACGCGGCGTGCTGCTCGAGCGGTGTGGCGGCCTCCGAGGTAGCGCAGGGGTGTGTGGGCCCCGCATCTACTGCCGCACAAAGGACGAAAAGTTGGAGTGCTTGAAGTGGAGCGGGAGCAGCTTTTGCGCAAACTGAGGGAGGGCGGCAGGGCAGTGAGGGGCGGCCACCGGGGAGAGGCTGCGGCGTCGGGCGGGCGCGGGTACGGATAGCGCAGGGGTGATTTCTGCAGTGCTGGCGGCGTGCCACCGCGGGGCTGCCCACCACATGCTGGGGCACCACCAGCAGTTGTGCCCCCGCCGAGCCGCCGCGCAGGCGAAGGGACGCGCGCAGCGGTGTTTTTGCGGTAGGAGGGCGCGTGGATATCTCTCTCTCGCTCCCGCCTGCTCCGGATCCTTGACAACCAGCCCGTCGCCAGCCTACAAAGCGCAGCCGTGCGCACACGTTGCGCGCTAGTCATGCATCTCGGCGAGGGGAGAAGCGGCCGGGCGTGCTCTCTCGCGTTCTTCATTGCATGCGGGCTGCGGCGGCCCCGGGAGGACGCGGCGAAGCATGTGTGCACCTGCGTCCATCCGACGATGTCCGCCGTTTCCTCCTCGTCGACCATCTGATACAACTTCGCCAGGAAAGGTTTGGGGCCGGCAGTGGCGTCGGCGGCGACCACCAGCGACATGTGTATGTCGGCAGACAAGACCCGGCGCGGAACTGGATGCCGCCAGGCGAAACGAGAAACCAAGCCCGTGCCCGAGCGAACATACACAATACAGGCGTGCTTCGTGACGTGATCGTGGCCGACTCTCACCCAGCCTCACTCACAACTCTCACGTACTAGCAAGTGCACGACAGAGACTTACACAAGTAACAGCGCGGAACCCCCCCCTCGCGCTCACCACAGCTCACAGAGTGGGCGGCTGGCTTGCTAGTACGCGGCCGTCTCCGCAAAAAGCCATTCCAGCGCGTCGGCGATGACCCTGCCGAGCTCGCCGAGTGCACCGACGACGTTGCTCGCCACGTCGGAGCTTCCCGCCGCAAAATACTCCTGGGGCGTTACGCCCGAGACGGACAGCGCAGCAAACTCGAGCAAATAGGGAATGACCAGGTAGGGGATGGCCATGATGACAATGACGGCGGCGCTCAGCACAATCGTGCGGGCGGTACCTGGCGTGCGCTCCTCCCAAGACCACGTTCTTGCAGTCCGCAGCTTTGTCGACTGCTTGAGCTCGTCCATCTTCCAACCCGGCCGGATCAGCACATACTTCGACCACACGTCCTCGAACAAGTTGGAGTCCCGCCGCTCGGACTCACTCGTCTCACTTTCGCACGCGAACAGCGGCGCAGAGCGGCATCGCGGTACGAGCCCCGGTCTCACGCCTGCTGCTCGCCGCGGCACCAGCGGAGCGTGCAGTACAACGGCCGGCGCGGACGCGACAGCCAGCGCCAATAGAAACGACATATCAGCGCTGACTCCTCTTGCACCGCCGTCCCTGCCGAAGAGAGGCGAAGGCCTGTGAGGCGGCTCAAAAAAAGAAATAAATCGTATGTGGCAGAAGAGGGCACAGCGAGAAAGCAGCTCGACAAAAAAGAAAATCTGGCGCCGGCGCAAGCGCCGGCGCGACGCGATCGCTGGCACACCCGACTCCTGCCATGCGCTCCACTCAGGCCCTGGAGTGCTACCTGCAGCGCGAGGTTGCTGCGCCGGACTCGCAGGCGGCTGTCCAGAGCGGACAGCCGGCGCGATCCGACGCCGCTCAGCTGCTTCCGCCGGCCGACTCGTACGCCGCGCTTGAGGCATATCGCGCCCTCTTGAACGAGTGCTCCGATCTCTTACGGGCCGACGCACTTCAAGAGGTGCTCGCGCCTCCTGGCGACGCGCAGGCGGTCGTACCAAGAGGCTCTCGTGAGTGCCAGCAGGAAGCTCCTCCCAGTGTCACCGCGAGGCCTCCGAGCGACTGCGGCGAGCACGCGAGTTGCCCAGAGCATGCGCAGCGGGACCGGCTCGCGCCGGACGCCACGACTCTCGCCAAGGTCGCGCGGATGCGGGAGCGACTGAAGCCCGCCAGCCGACGAGTGCCCGAGTCAAGCCTCAATGCACAACCATAATTTCTTTGAAGATTGAACTGTGAAATTAACGACGACTGTCGTGCGTGATCTTGGGTCCGGGTTTTTGTGCGTACGGCTTTCGTTTGAAGTTATACAGTATAGGACCGGCTAACCGAGCGAAAGAGAGGACTCAACTTCTTGGTGTTGGAGTCGCGGGGAGGAGAGGTGTCGGCCTCGCGGGAGAGCGAGAGGTGTATCAGGTATTGCATTTCGATACGCCTCTGTTGTTACGTTATACGTAGTACATATAGATACACCTAACCCACCGAGCACCGTCCTGCACACACAACAAAATTTAAAAAAACGCGCAGATCGGCTCCGATGCACACATCTCGAGAGCGGCGGGCTCAGTGCATGGACACCCGTGGACTTCGCGCCCCCCCTGACTCGTCGGGCGGGGCCGCGAGCAGGAGCCGCGCGAGGCAGGCGCGGAGCCCGCTCACCCTCTTGGCGCGGTTGGGCTCGGCGGAGGCGTCGGGCATAGCGGCGGGCGAGGAGAGCCCCGACGCGCGGCCGCTGGGCTCGCAGAGGCTCGCGCCCCGCTGCTGCATGCTCGTGCGCGCCGCCGCCGAGGCGCGGACCTGTTCGCAGTGCCGGCGTGAAGAGACGCGGCTCGCGCGGCCAAGCCTCGCGCGGCGACAGTTCGGGCGGCGGACCGAGACGGAGAAGGGCCTCAGGGCGGCTTTTTCTCGTCCACAGAGCAAGTCGCTCATCTGCACGGCCCACTGCCACAGCCCGGCGGCGGCTCCGGCGAGGATGGTCGCGGTGATGAAGAGGGTGGCCGAGCCGTCAAACAGGTAGGAGGGCTGGGCGGGGTTGGCGAAGATGAGCAGGGAGAGGACGAGGGTGGTGGTGGAGCGCAGGAAGTCGGAGGCGAGGTGCAGAAAGGCGGAGCCTGACCACGGCGAGAGGGCGTGACGAGGCGCTGCTCACAGGGGGGGGCGGCGGCCGTGCGAGCTGCGGAGAGGGCCCATGTTGACCGCCTCCGCCTCCTCCATCTCCTCGGGGTCGGTCCAGTAGCGGAAGGTGAAGAGGGAGGCGACATCGAACACCAGGCCAAAGAGCGCAAAGGCGAAGACAACGCGCGGGTCGACGCCGGACCACGTGCAGGCGGGGCCGCCGCTGTCCAGCTGCGGCGAGGCGGCACTGCCGGCGCAGAGCGGCGCATTCTCCCACAGCGGCGCCGCCGGGTCGAAGGAGGCGACGGCAGCCTCGCAGGCGCCGCCGACAAGCAGGCAGTCCGCGGCGATGAGGGAGTCGGCACCTGCTCACGGCCAGACGCGTGAAGAGACGCCGCTCAGAGACCGGGCAGTCCACTGGGCAGTCGATGCACACCGGAGTTGGCGGCGGCGAAGTCTGCCTCCACCTGGGCGAGAGTGGAGGGCACGTCGCAGCACGAGGTGTCGAACGCCTCCTGCGCGAAGGTGACTTCCCACGCGTCGAGGAAGAAGAGGGTGGTGAAGGAGGTGAGGAGTACCAGGCTGATGAAGGCGCTCGTCAGCTGGGCGAAGGCCTGGTGCCTCGGACTCGCACACGGAAAGAGCTCGGTGAGCATGGAGAGGACGAACGAGATGGCGTCGATCCCCTATCCACGCAGCCAGCTCGATTCGGCACGGCCCACTGCGAGAAATGTGGCCGGCTGAGGCTCGGCAACCATCGAGACGCAGTCGGCCAGCAGCGCGGTGCTGTTGGCTGCGACTGCTGCGAAGAACTGAGCGAGCGTGATAACCGTGAAGAGGCCAGCGGCGATTGCAAGTGTCTTAACGTTCGGGCTGCAGTTCGGGCTACGGTTCGGGCTGCTGTCCATCGCTGAGTGGACACAGGCAATGCTGCGTTCCGGCTCCACCGAGCTGGGTCTGCTGTGGCTCTCCGTCACTCCATCACTAGTCTGCTTTTCTTGTTTCTTTTAATTAAGGTAGGTGGTTTGTCTTTGTTGGCCCAAAAGGCCCTGCAGTAGGTATGTACCAATAGTGAAGTAGGGTGAGAAATATGAAAACGCCCCCTATTTTCGCCTTTTCCCTCTTTTTCGCTTCGCTGCGCTGCGCGGCCTGTGTGGAGGTAGGCAGGGCGTTTTGGCGCGAGTCAGAGAGACTTTTGAATCTCTTCGAGTCAGTGTCAACAGACCCCCTATCCGGGTAGGAGCTGGAACCCTGGGTGGCGCTGCGGAAGAAGAAACCGCAGAAGAAAGAAACCCCGGCGCTCGCCGATCATCCGGGAACCGGGATCCGGCCCGCTGGGTGCGCTTCTTAGCTCCCCGGCCCTGGATGTGAGGTTGCCGACTGCACTCCAAGTGCTCCAAGTGCCCCCCGGGCGGCCTCTCGACTTGGGTGGAGCAACCAGTGCTCCACGACATTTCACCTAGAGTTAGTTATTCAGCCATTCTGCATTCACATTGGACCGACATTCAGCACATGCAGATGCACGATACGCGTGGCCCCCCTGCGCCCCCCCGCCCTTTGTTTTGTTCGTCAACTCGTCAAGAGCTTATCCAGAGAAAACTTTATATGCGTCCACTCCATCCAGTCTTGATGACAAGAATAGTCAATAGAGCTACACGTGTAACGAGCGAGCGGGTGTGCATGTGTCGGGGGGTGTGCATGGGCACCCACGGCTCAGTGTGCACCCGCAGGCCCACGTAATCAATGAAATGAGGCATCATGATTGATGTGTGCCATGCGCATGCACCATGTGTGGACATGTATGTGCACCCCGTGGGAGAGACATGCTCGCATGTCATGTCATGGGCGTGTCTGAGAAGGGAATGCACCTCTCGATGCCAGCTCGGCTTGAGCTTGATGTGATGCTTGCCGATGCTCGGTGCGTCGGCGACCGGGCATGCCATCGATCGGCTGCCGTCCTTCGGCTCCTACCGCTCTACCGCCGGCTCGGCGAGAGCTCGTGGATGCAGCGCGAGAAGACGGCGGCGTCGCCGCCGCGGGAGGGCGCCGCCGGGACGCACTCTTGGAAGCAAAACCGGGCGGCTCCCGCCGCGGCGTCTTCCTTTGGCGCGCAGCGGCCGGGGGTGCCGCCGCCGTACTCGCACGAGCCGCCGCACGTGAGCCCGCCCCGTGTCGGCGCGGGCGGCGGGTCCTCGTCCTCCGCCAGGACGGTGTTGGCCAGGAGGCCCGCCGCCCCGCCGGAGAGCGGCCCTCCTCCGGCGGCGAACCCGGCGACCGACGCGAGGATGACGGCGTTGGTGTGGCCGCCCACGAGGTCGGCCGGGTGCTCTTCCAGCCGCTGGCTGCAGCCCGCCTGGTCGCCGTAGCACTCGGCCGGCGAGTACATCTTCTTCTCGGCCGGCGCAGCTCGCGCGGCGGGCGGGGAGTGGAGCGACACTTGGAGCGACTCGCCGGCTGGAGAAGCGGCGGCCGGGTGAGCTCGGTGCCGCTTCTCGTCCGGCGGCGCGAAGCCGAGGCTCTGCTCGACGGAGTGCTCCGCCTGCTCGACGTTGGCGTAGGCCGCGGCGCCGAGGGCCTTGCCCGCCTGCGGAAGGGGGGGGGCTGGCTGGGGGTGTATGTGGGGTCGAGGGAGGAGCCCGGAGGCAGGGAGTCCGAGAGAGGGCAGGGTTGGCGACGGTGCGTGTGGCAGGGTGGCGAGTGTGTGTCTGCGAGTCGTCTCGCCTTGCCCAGGTCGTTGAGCAGCAGCGTGCCTATACCCGCAGCGTGGTGTGTGAAGAGACGCTGCCCCCCACGCCTCTCTCGTCGGCCAACGGAGAGGGGCGCTCGCTCGAGTGCATCGCGGAGCCCGTCTTTGACTCGACGCCCTCGCCCTCCATCATCGCGTCCACCTCCTCCCGGCTCTTGAGGTCGCCTGCGCAAGGTGCAGTGCTATAGTGGGGCAGTCGTGACTATGTGGTGGTGTCACGTCTACCCGAACGAGGAAACCCGATCCCTTCTTAGTGGCTCTAGAGGAGAAGCGAGTGGGGCGCCTGTGGCGAAGCGGCGCGTCGCGTCGATCATGTTGCGCTGCGTCCCGTCCTGCAGCCGCATGTACTCAACCGTGGCAGCCTCGGTCCCTTTGTCGTCGAGGCCCGAGCCGGCGGGCATCATATCGCCCTTGAGGCCAGGGCCGCCGCCGGTGTCGTGTGCTTGGTACTGCGAGTCCATCGACGAGATGTACGCGTCCTGCGCCTGTTGCGTCTTCTGAAGGGTGTCCAGCGCGGAAGCGAAATCTGTAGCGACAGCTTGCTGTGCAGCTGCGTTCTCGTCTGCAGCGGAGTGATCATTCGTCTGCCGTGGCGGTGTCACCGCGCCGCTCGCAATGACGCAGACGGCTGCAAAAAAAAAGAGAGCGGCCGCCGCGAGCCAAGCCTTGCGATTAGCCTGGCGCCTGCCCCTCTCGAGGTGCGGCACGGTAAGCATCCCACAACGGGGCCCCGGGCGAGTTTGCCGCCGTGTTACGCGAGTTTGAAATTCTTTTTTTGCATTTCAGTTTTGCTTCGAATGAGATCTAACTCAGACCCTCTCGCGCAGCCACTCACGCCGGCGTGCCCATCTCCATCAGGGACCGCTTTGTCTCTGCGTCGAGCATCCCCAAACAAAAATTGGCTTGCTGCGGCGCGGAACGGCCCCGGCACTCGAGGTACGGGAACCAGGGTGCCGCGGAGGCGCAGAGGTAGCCCATTTTTGCCGGCTGCAGCTCGGGCGGGAGGCCGACGCCCCCGTGCCGCTCGAGGGGGCGGTGGCGAAGCCACTCCGCCTCCGACACCGAGAAGAAGCGGCGGGTCTTAGGCGTCACGGAAACGCGCAGCGCCGTCCTGCTCCGCACCTGGTGGGTAGGAGCCGCCGCGCGTGTGACGCGGTCTCGACAAGCATGACGCGCGTGTGACGGGATTGCTGCTACCCATGGCAGGGCGACACACCTCGTGGAAGAGCAGACGCACGTACTCGTCAATCGGCCCCGGCTGGCAGGTGTGCACGCAGTCACCAACGGACGAAACTCGTCCCCGGCTGGCAGGCGTGCCGAGGCCATGTGCCGCCACCGCCGCGTCGGGCCGCGTTCTGCTGAGCGCCGCGACGTCGATCCACACCACGCCCGCGTCTTGCGCGACCCACTGCGCTGCTTGATTGAAGTGCTGTAGCTGCCGCCACTGTGCAGCGAAGGGGTGGGCCTTGAGCCGACCGGCGTGCAGCGCTGCACCCGAGAGGGTGAGTGGCGCGCCAATACTCTCGCACCCCGGCGTCGGAAGTGGGGCGCCAAGCACCACGACCGACTCCGGCGCCGCACCGCGCTTTGCCCGTTCGGCCACCAGACGGCGCAGCGTGTGGCGCAGGTTGTGCGCTGGGAAGGCGGCGGCCGCCGACGAGTTGATGCTCTCGAGAGAGGAGACGGCGTGAATGCCAGCGCCGAGCACCAGGAGGTCGGCGTCATGCACGGCGCGCACTGCCCACGGCTCGAGGATCGTGTTACCCGCACACCACCGCACGAGGTTGGTCTCCGCTCCCGACGAGCTCCACAGCAGCAGGTCGTTGCGAGCGTAGGAGAGGCGGACGCGGCCGTCGCACGCCACAGCTGCCTTCGAGTGGAGTTCAGCACCCTTTGCAGCGACGACTCTCGTGCTCCCATTGACGGGCGGACCAAACCCGTCGAGGCCCTGCAGCAGCATCACGAGCGAAACGTAAATCTGCTCGCTGATCGAGTCGCCAACCACGACCACCTGCCGTACGTCGCGCTCCTCGAGCAGAGCGCACGCTCGGGTGCGGTCCCACGCATCGAGCGCGCATGCTCGCGGCCGCCACTCGTAATGCTTGCGAGGCTCCTTCCGCCGGGTGAAGGACCGATCGTCGCATGTGAGGCCGGCGGCGGCGCCATGGAACGACCTCGGAAGAGAGTGAGAGGCGTCTTGAAAGCGAGCGTAGAACGCCGCCGGCATAATCTCGTACGGAGGTGCGGCACGCGGCACCCAGCTCCCGTCGGCATGAGTCGAACCCTGGCATCGTTCCATATCACTTTTACAGTGCGGCCCGCCTAAATCCCGCCATATCCGGTTGCTGTACGTAGGGTGCCCCAAAGGGACGCACGTCGCCGCGCCGTTGGGCTGGCGAATTACCTTGATTAGAAGTTTGACTTTGTCCCCTCTCCGCCCGCGCTGTTATGTGTGATCAAGACTTCTTGCGATAGATAGCACGATCCACACAGGAGAACACAAACAGGGCTCCAGGCCCCAAATGACGTGTGAGTGTTAGATTTGTTTGGTATTGCTAAAAATCTCTCTCAGGAGAACCATTTTTTCGGATTGCAACGTCCAACGAGAGGTGTCTGCCCTCGCCCGCCGCAGGTGCCGATTTTTTTATCTAGGCACTAGGCTCAAAATAGGTTCTACTTGAGCCAGTGGCTCGCCGAGCCCAGCTCAGGGTCGGGGCAGAACTTTTGGTACTCGACTCGCAGGCCGCGCACCTCCTGGCTGAGCTCGCCGCACGGGGCGGCGTTTGGCAGGCGGAAGAGGGAGGCCACCTGCTGCTCGCCATAGTGGCGAAAGAAGCAGCGCAGCCGGTCCTCGGGCGGCGACGAGGCGTACCTGCGCACGGGCCCGGCGGTCTGGGCCCGGGCGGCAGCTGGAGAGGCGACGAGGCGCGCGCCTCTTGCACGCACGGTGTGGTCCGGTAAAGTGCGAGATGAAGTGGCCTGGCGTGTACAGATCGGCGGAGGGGCGGACGTGCACGCATCGCTCAAAGGTATCGTTGAGCGGCCCTCGCTTGAGCAGGGTGTTGAGTGCTCCTTGCTCGGCGGGGAAGTCGGTCAGCATAGACGGCGCCCCCTCGCGCGCCGGCACGTCCCACCACTCGTCGAGCAGCGCGTGGGACGCGCGCGTGTTGCGCGCCGCCATCGCGCCTACTCTTGCCTCTCGAAACTGTGAGCGGGCGCTGCTCACTCTTTCCGCCCGTGCTGCGCCAGCCAAGGTGCCCGCGTTGACACCCCGCCAGCCACCCATGTCCTTGCCCAACACGGCGCAGACGTCGTCCTCGGCGACAACGTCGGGTTGGTGGTAGGCGCGCCCCTGCTTGTTGTCGGCCAGATCGCGCAGAGGTAGCCGGACCTCTCTCGGGTGCCTGCGTATCGCGCCGCCCGGCGTGCCGCGCAGCCAAGGGTGCAACGCCCGGGTGGAGAAGGTGGCGTCGTTGTCTAGCCAGAGCACCCACTGGTACATGGGACGGGCGCCCTCGCGCAGCCGGAGCAGGCCGAGGAGCATGAGTACCTAGTTTTGACGGGCAGGGCTTGAAGCTCGATTCGGAGCGGGGCCGGCGGAGGGCGCGTGGTGATTGATTCGAGTGGGGGTCCGACGGGCTCTCGGGCTGGCGCCTTGCTCCAGGCCCACAACGCGTGGCCCATGTGCGTCCGCACCGGCTGGCGCTTTGCCAGCTGCCGCTGTGTCACCCGCTGCTGCGGTACGGTCGCGTAGAAGAGGTCGACCTCGTTGAGCGCCGCCACGATCCGGTTTGCCGTGAAGCTGAGGCAGCGGAGCAGCCAGCCTCGGTGGAGCTCCGCGGCGGAGAGCTCGAGCTGCACGAGCTCATCCTCGCTCTGCGGCGCAGTCCGGGCAGATGACAGCCATACTGGCGCCCGTAGCTCGTCGTGGCCCATGAGGGCAGCCACGCGGGAGGTGGTGGCGGAGGTCGCCATGCTTGATGCTCCAGCAAACACTTGTCACGCGTAAGTTTGCGAGAGACTTCACAAGGTTTTCTACACATTAGGGGCCAGAGAACACACCCCTCCTCCCCTTTTCTCCCAGTAAGCTAAAAGTACGTCCACAAACAATGGACTTCGTGACACGGCGCGGGGACAGTCAATTCGCACCAACGACCAAGCCACCAACAATGTTTTGGGGGCCACATCTTTTTTTGTTTGACTTTGAGTTTGTGTCGCGGATCATCGCACATCGGCGTAAAATAGACATTTGTCAAAGACCGCGCATGCGGGCATGGGCAGCATGATGGGCGGGGAACCTTTTCTAACCTCTCGCCAGCGAGAGCGTGCGCATGGAGGTCGCTTCTGCAACCAGTCTACATACGATATATAGTGCATTTTAACCATTTAAGTTATTTATTTCATGAAAAGTACATCACTCATCAGCCATCAGGCAAACCGGAGGTTTCTACTCTTTAGCGACACGTACAGGCACAGCTTGAGGCCGACTGTGATGGCGAGCAAGGTGGCCACATTGGCACCCAGCCCAAGCGGGCTGTATCGCGGGTCGGCGGTGTGGGTTGGTGATGACACCTGGGAGATGATGGAGGAGGAGTAGTAGAAGATGCTCGTGTAGCTGAGCCAGCGCAGCCCTCCCGGGTACGTGCGGGGGTCTCGTAGGAAGCCGCCAGCGCACATCTGCAGCACGTTGACGGCCGAGATCAGCGTGTTTGCGCTGATCGGGCACCTTGGGTGGTCGCTCACGATCGAACAAAGCATTCCGATGATCGCGCTCGTCTGGAACTGCAGCAGCATGGTCAGCCAGATGCAGACCGAGGCGACCGGCTCGAAGCCGCACATGGGCAGGGCGCACGCAAAGAAGACGGAGGGGCAGACGATCTCCGAGGGCGTGTCGGCGACTACCTTCGAGAGGAGGTACGCCTCGATCGAGTACGCGTCGGAGAGGAGCTCCTGATGACAGCAGGAGGGGCGCGTACGATGAGCGTGTGTTGCTTCCGTTCGCGCGCGTGGGAGAGGCGCTCCTTGGTGAGGACGGCAACCTCGGCGGGGAAGGCGAAGAGGTAGAGGAAGCCGGGCCACCACGTCATGTGCGCCACGAAGAAGAAGAGCGCACCCTGCTCCGCGTCGCTGCCGGCGCTCTGCCACCAGATCAGGCCGGTGATGACGCCAATGAGCACGTTCAGCGCGATCTCGTCCGCCTGGCGAGGTGCAGGCGGGGGGATCAGGTCACCTCTCGGCGAGGACGGGGAGGGGGCGGAAGACTCGAGGCGCCACCTTGAGGAGCGTGGAACGCGACTGGCGAACCTGCCGCCGCGCGAGCAGCCAGACGGTGCGGTGGAAGGGCAGTCGCGCCCGCCGCCTCAGCTTGGTCCGAGACATCGACACCTCCGCCGCGGCATTGGCGGAGGCGTCGGGACGAACGACCGCCACACAGATCGTGGGCGCGGCGGTCGACCACTCGCTCTCGAGGCGCGTGGACTCGGCCGGGTCGCAGAGCAGCTGCATCGCGTGGTCGGCGAGAGAGAGCCGGTCCGGCGCTCCGAGCTCGAGGCGGTGGAGGTGCGCCGCGAGGGAGGCCGGGCCGCCCGAGAAGACGGTCGCGCCGCCGGGCGCCATGAGCACCACCCGATCCACCAGCTCGAGGATCTGGAGCGACGGCTGATGCAGAGTGCAGAGGCAGCCGACGCCGTGCGCGGCGGCGTACGATCTCAGCTTCGCCATCACCAGCAGCGCAAAGGTGGAGTCGAGCCCGGAGGTCGGCTCGTCGAGCAGCAGCACCTTGGGCATGCCCAGCAGCTCTGCCGCAATGTTGACACGCTTCAGCTCCCCGCCCGAGATGCCGCGCCTCATCGTAGACCCGATGGTGGTGTCGAGCGTCTGCTGCAAGCCCATGTCGTGAACCACAGCGGCTACTCGCGCCGCTACCTCCGCGTTCGACGCCTCTGCGCAGGCGAGCGGTGAAGAGCAGCGTCTCCTTGACGGTCAGCGCCTCGATGAAGATGTCTCTCTGGCGGACATAGCCCATCTCGGAGGCGACGTGTCGCCGGCGCGAGGAGCGCCTCTTGTTTCTGAAGAGAGGCTCGCCGCGAAGATGCACGGTGCCTTGTGCTAGGTCCTTGTCGCCAAAGAGAGCGGACAGGAGCGTGGTCTTGCCCGCTCCGCTCGGACCCATGATGCAAACCAGCTCGGACGACTGCAGCGAGCCGCTGTTGGGCGAGACGAGCACCTTCCCTGCCAGCGCCACGCTCACGTCGCTCCACTCGAGGACTGTCGTGGACCCGTGTTCGTGCCGCGAGGGCATAAGAGAGAGCGGGCGGCGAGGTGGGCGTTATCCGACAGTGGGCCGATGTCGACCCAACTTCCTGTCGCTTTCCCTGTTCTCGGCCCCGAGAGGGGTGGTTGAGGGGTTGAGGGTTGAGGCCCCCCATCAACCATCTGGTTGACGGTTGAGACCCCCCGTCAACCCTTTAGTTGAGGGTTGAGGCCTCCGGGGCCTATTCTCAGGCTCGCGCGTGATCACAAGATAACCTTGAAAAGCCCTGCCGCCAAAAAATCGCTTCGCCTGCGGCGCGCTCTTGCGCTCCTCATACCTCGAGCGCAATCCATAAGTAGGAGACGCTCACTGTCGCCATTCAGGCGCCTGATCTTTCAGCAAAGCGATGGCCTACCAGGTACGAGTTCAGATGCGCGCCCGGCAGAAGACGCTTGTGATGCCGCATGCAGTGGAATGCGCACAGAGAACGGACGGCAAGAGAAGGCAAGGGAAGAAAGAGAAACGGCTGGTGCAGCTAAGCTCACGGCGTAGTATTGCGGTCACTAACCATCCACGGCAAGAGTCACGTTGAATGCTGCCGCATAAAGCAACAGAGTCGCGGTTGGTGCGATGGTCTTGTCGCGGTTAACGACTTGACGTTGCACACGGCCATAGACGCAGGATCTGTTTGGCGCGCCTCAAGCAGCGAAAGCAGGCGCGAGAAATTAATGTCAATCCTGAGATCTCAATTTTGGCGCTAGTTTCGTTTCCTGGTACATCACGACGACTTGGGTCTCATGTAGCTCGACGGCTCTTCGACGGCTCTTTCTGGTTGGATCAGACAGTGCTATCAGTCAACAACACAATGCCGAGAGCAGGGCGGCCTTCGAGCAGGGCGGCCTTCGAGGCAACTAAGTTCCTGCTGGATTTTGCCACTCAACGTACAACTTGATGGCGGGCGGACGTGTCGAGCATGGAGAGAGCATGGAAGGCGGCCATTGCTCAAACCTGTTCGAGTTGGCCTCCGGGAACAAGGGTGCGTGGCCAGCGCGGTCTGTTTCACGTGCAATAAGGGCAACGCCATCAAAATCGCGCGAACTTGGGCCGACATGCCTCCGACATTTCTCAGGGCTCGGACGGAAGCTCTGCAGACAGCCAGACCGCTCTGCGCGCACATTAGTGTGCGGTCGGACCGACTTTTTCAGACTTTACTATTCTGGATACTGAGGGTATGTGCTGCTAGATCTCACTGAGCTGAGCTCGTATCTGCCTTTGGTAAGCAGTTTTGAGTTCGGTAATGTCTCCGGAGACGGAGGGGCCGGGACCCCCCCTGCGCGGGGGGCCTTCGATGGCTGTCAGCGCTCCTCCGGGCTTTGCATCACACCTCCCATTCACGCACGAAGCTGAAGCAAGTACTCGTAAAAACGGCGCGTCAAATGCAGCATCCAGGCGTCTAAAGTACTAAAGAAGACGACATGAATGGTTCACAGAGAATGTGTTCAGACCTTTGCGCGGGGGTGTGTGTGGACAGCCATTCCGCGTGGTTGAGGGGTTGAAGGGGTCTGTCAACCACTTGGTTGAGGGTTGAGGCCTCTGTCAACCACGTGGTTGACAGTTGAGGCAATCGGCCTCAACCACCGCTCTGGGCCGACTGTTCTTCTTCTCTTCTAAATGCCAAGATTCTTTTTTGCGAAAATGTTTCCCTGCCTCTTGTCGGCCGCGCTGCTGCTCACGCCCTCCCTGTCGCTCGACTGGGGTCGAGCGCGGCCGCTGCGCACGGACCCGCACCGGTTATCACCGGTCCGCGTGCGCGTCTCGCCGCTGCGGCTCCAGGTGGCCGACGAACCGCCGGATGACGGCGGCGGCGGCGAGGCAGAGGAGGGTCTTCCCGAGGCAGAGTCGGAGGGCATCGCCGACTTTCGCGCGCAGCTGATGCGACAGATGGGCGGCGGCGGCGGCGGCGGCGGCGGCGGCTCAGCGGACACGCCTCTCTCCGATCGCGAACGCCTCATGCGCTCCGTCGAGACCGCCGCCCTCGCCGACGCGCCCGCGCCCGGCCGGATGCTGCTCGCCAACCCGGCCAAGTTTTGCTCTCGGAACCCGTTCGCGCGCCCCGTCAAGGACCTGGGCCGGTTCGGCCTCGACGGCCCCGTCTCGCCCGACGAGATGCCTCCCGACCTGACGGCGCAGATGCTGCCCGTGCTGCTGCTCCTCGAGCACGGCGAGGGAGGCTCGTCGGCAGTCCTGCTCGAGCGGCGGACGGTGCGGCGATCCAGCCTGCCCTCGCCCGAGCCCTCGCCCGAACCCTAGGTTGCCGAGTCCTCGTGCGGTAGGGCGGTCTCGGAACCGTCGCACAGAGCTCCGTGCGCCTCTCTCTGCCTGTCTGTCTCTCTCTCTCTCCTCCACACGCGCGGCCTCGCACCGGCCCCTCGCCGAGAGCCGCAGGGCCTGGCCGAGAGAAGCGCGCCCGCGCCCCTCCTCCCCGCAGGGGGCGCTGATGGGCGACATCGACATCGACTCCTTCGGCTGCGTCGCGATCGCACCCCTCTGGCTCGGCGGCACGCAGCGGCAGAACGCCCTCTCCGCCCTCCACTCGGTGGAAGGGCTCGAGGGCAGCGCCGCCGCCGCGGGCCACGCGCCTTCTCCGGGACCCGATCCGCGACACGCCGCCGCCGTGCTTCGCAGGCGCCGCCCCGCTCCGCGATGGGCTGTGGCTCGGCGGCTGGGAGGCTGCTCGCCCGCGCGTGGCAGACTCGAGCCTGGCGGCGGCGCGCTGCACGGTCCCTGCTCGACGGAGCAGCGCAGCGCAAGCCTGCTTGATGGAGTGTCCTCGTCCCACAGGCGCGCTTCAAGTTCTTTCTCGGCGCGACCACGTGGGCCGCCGGCCAGCTGGAGGCGGAGGTGGCGGCGGGCGCGTGGATCGTCGTCGAAGGCACCTTCCCTCCTGCGTCTCCCTCCCTCCTCCCCTCGCTGCCCCGGGCCCGCACGCCTCTCTTCTCCCTCTTCGCCCTCTCTGTGACACCCCCCCCCCCCCCTTCCCTCTCGCAGGCTCGCCAGAGCTCGTCCTCAAGGAGCGGCTCGACGGCTCGGGCGCACGGCGCGGCGACCCCGCCCCTCCGACCGACCGACCGACCGCCGCCCCTTGGTGCCGCACCCCCCTTGGGAGCCTTGCCCCCCCCCCCCCCCCCCTCCCCTCTCTCTTTCCCGCAGGCGCGCGAAGCCGGTGTGGGCAGAGGTCCTCTCCGCTCTGGGCGAGCCCGGACGGACGGCGTACGAGGCGGTCTACGGCAGCGGCGACTGAGTCTGACGCCCGCCGACTCGCGCGCGTTACGCTTCGGCCCGCGGCGGCCCCTCGTGAGCATCCCTGCGCCTGCAGCCGAGGGTGCCCGCGGCTGCGCGCCGACAGGCGACGGCGTGCTGAGAGCTGTGCTTGCTAGGCTCTGCCTGCAGCCTGCACAGAACTGCCTCGTTTGTAACTACTGTGCGTCGACATACGACATGTGCTAATAAAGTCCGGCTCTTGCGGGGCGATTACCCGAAGGCGCATGTCGCAAAAAAACATGCGTGCCAAACGGACAACACTAGCCGTGGCCCCGCGGCCCGCGCGCCCGCGCGCGCGCGCGCGCTGTCCGCTGCCGACCGCTGTGGCCCTGCGTGCGTTTCGGTTTTTTTTTGCTTTTGCGTTGGTTGGGTTTTGGCTTTTGCCATGGCTTTTGGTTTTGCGTGTTCGACAGCAATTTAACACTCGCAGCTTGCTTTTTTCGCTCCAGCCCTGCGGGTCTTCACATTCCGACTTTCAAAATAAACGAGTAAACGACATCTCAAGCTACTGCAGGTGCAGCTGGAGCGTGTGGAGGCGTGCCCCAGGCAATCGCCGTCAGAGTCTCACACTTACACGACACATCCGACCTCAACCACGGGCATGAACGAGTACTCTGAGTCGGAGTGTATAAACTCCGAAAGAGGAGCAAACACGCTTCCAGGGAGAACAGATCTCAGAGCCCAATTCCCAGCGTGAGTGACGGTACGCAATAATCCACCCCCCTCGCCCCCCCGACTCCCTGAGATCCATTCAAACATTCACGCACTGGAACCCGGGCCATGCCTGGCGCACGGCATCGGTGCGCCGGGCTCGTAGAGTTCGCCCTTTGCGATCGCGAGTGCTTTGCTGAGTTGTTCTTCGGTCTTGGAGTTCTTTGGCAGCCACGGCAAACCGTCGTCTGGCAGGCAGAATTCGCTCCGACCCTGCACCTCTTCGGCACACTCGCGGTAAATTCCCTCAAAGTAGCCCTTGTGCTGCTTCAATTTCTCTACCTCCTCCTTCAACGCTTCGTCGTACTCCATCCATCGGTGCTCGTGGATGTACTTCATCTGTGCCGCCGTGTAAATGCACTCCTTCAGCTGAGTGTCCCACAGACGCTTGTCACGCACGATAGCCTCTTGGAATGTGGAGTCGTCGCGAGGTTCGACGCCGATGTGCCGAAGCGCGCGGTGCAGCATCTGAATCCTCTTCTCCCGGTCCTCGGACACCGTCACCTTTGCCTTCTCGGCAGACAGCTTGCGTTTGCGCTTGTTCTGCTTCCGCTGCTCGAGGGCCTCCCTGCCACCCATATCGTTGAAGATATTGAGGATGGTCGGCCCACTAAATACGTACATGGACCTGCCGTACCCCGACCGCCGGTTGTTGAATGGGTATTTGCCGTTGAGGCCCTTGGCCTGCTCCTCGGTGAGGAAGAGCAACTCCTTGACATTCGATCGGGCGAGGCCGCGTGACAGAGGGCGCCCTTGCTCGAGGAGAGTCAGATCATCGGTCAGGTCATGGGACATGTCCAATCAATCTCAGTCAGTCAGCGCCCTCCCGCTTTTGACAGGCAAAAAACAAAAAAAACTCCAAAAAGTTGCGTCGATGTGCGAAATGTCCGTCATCGTGGTCCGGTAGAACTCGGTGCCAACCAGCTCAACCTGCTTGAGATTACACTTTGCCATGCTCGCGTTGCTCAGGTCGCTCGTTGAAAAAAGAAAGAAAGCAGCCGACAACCCAAGGGAGGGATGGGAGGACGGCACGCCGCCACCACACAGGGATTTTAAGGAGAGGAGTGTGGTGCTAGCCGTCGCCCACCCTAACCCTTGGTCGTCTGCCTCTTTCTATCTCCCTGTCGCTCCGTTGAGAGCATGCATGAGAGAGAGATTTTTGAAAACCAACAAGCCTTCTTGCATGAGTGAGAAGAGTGAGAGGTAGGTAGCTTCAGACTATCCCGGATCCTGCTGACCAAGCTCCTCTTGTAGCTCGATCGGTCACACCGCCATCGCCGTCGGGGAGAGGGGGGACGACACTGCTTCGGCAGCGTGCACCTCGATCCTGTACCGTGTTTGTTACGACCCCCCCCAATGAACACTCCAGTGAGGGAGAGCGAGACGATCGAGGGGTCCCGTACCATGCGGAATCGACCCTATCCAGTGCTCAAGCAAGTGGAAGTGCTCAATCAAGGTTCGAGCTGGCCAACTCAATGGATAGACTCGCGTTGCTCAGCAGCTTGCTGCCCTGGGCCCACGAGCGTGCGCACCCGCTCAAAGCACCCCTCCCAACTTGTCTGTCGTTACCCATCGTGAGGCGAGAGGGCGTTACAGGGGAGGGGTACAGCATGTTTCACAACACGCTGAAGAGAAGCTTTGGGAGGCCTCACCTCGGCCGAGGGTTGGAGCCCAACCGCGACTGGGAGGCGTTTCATGGTCGCACGCGTCACCACGCCGCCGCCGGTGCCGCGAATCACCGCCGAGCCGACGCTCACTCCCAACAAAAGCGGCAAGCGGCGACCCGGCACATTTCTGGCCGGCGCCGGCGACGACAGAATAAAGATGCCGAGCGACGAGATGCTGAAGGGGGTGGTGATGCTTGTGAATGAGGAGGGCAGTGTGTGCCACGTGGATGCGGAGAGTGGTGTCATACCAAAGCGGCCTTGCGGGCCCACGGTCGGCATGTGTGGCACGACCGGTGAGTGGTCTGTGATCACCGGCGATGGCGGCCGCATACCGGTCGCAAGGGCCATGAGCCGTTTTGAGCAGCTGCAGCGTGAGGTGGTGGAGGCGGCGCATGCGCAGCGAGCCGCCGAGGGCGGCGCCGAGCGCACGGCGAGCCTCGAGTCGCTCGACCGCTTCATGTCTCTCGACGACCCTCTCGACGACTCGCTGCTCGAACCGCTCGCAGCCATCTCGAGTGGTGACGATGGGGGCGATGATCCGCTACCGCACGACCCCAAGCTGCGGCCCGCCGACCTGGAGGCCTTCAGCAAGGCTGCCGCCGGTGCGCGCCGCCCCGCCAGCTCGCCCCCTCTGCACGCCCTCCCTGACGTGGCCCTCAGCTGGCGGCCTCTGCCCTCTCTTGCCCCAGCAACCCTCTGACCCCTTGTCCCGGCTGCACAGGTGAGTTTGAGGGCGAGTTTGACGACGTGCTCGCGCACTTTTTCGACGGGATCTACGAGGGATCGTCCGCCGACGACGACGCCTCCCGCTCGTCCGGCGCCTCCTCCCGAGGCTGCCCCTCCTCCCCCTCGTCGGACAGCCGGCCGAGCTCACCGCGCCTCGAGGTCGACCCGCGCTCGCGCCACGCGCTGGCGGCGAGGCTGGCGGGGCAGACCCCGACCGCGTAGCGTAGCGTAGCGCTCGGCGAGAGCCGGCCCGGGGAGGGAGGGAGGGGGGGGGGCGGCAGTGTAGGCGTGCCGAGCAGAGCAGGGGGAGAGGGGAGGCGGGGGAGAGAGGCTGGGGAAGCGGAGAGCAGAGAGCGAGCAGAGCGAGCAGGGCGAGAGCGCGCAAGCGAGAGCGAGCGAGCGAGACGGCATCTACGAGGATGGCATGGAGCATGAGGCATCCTACATGCTTTGCATGAGGAGATAGAGGCAGGCGGAGGCAGCGCATGCAGCCGCGTTTGGATGGGTCGCCTCACAAAACAAGCGGCCCACCCTTTCCGCGAAAACGGACTGAACTCTTGTGGATAGACTAGTGTTCTCTGTCTGTTTGAGGGCCCTGCGGTTGGAATGTGTGTATCTGTTGCGCCATGTTCATATTATAGCCATAGAAACACACCAGACCGAGCGTCAAATTGCAAATTCGAAAAAGCACGCACGTCCGCGGGCGGGGGGGCGCGGCAACGCGGGTAACACACTCACAGTACAAAGAATCCTGCACAAAGATCGCACGAGCGGGGACCTGTTCCTTTTTACCCATCTCACAGTAGATGCGTCCGTTTTATTTATTTATTTATTTACTCACAGTCGCAGAGAGAAACGTGTGAAAAGAATGCGAGATTGTGTTTTTTTTTAAGTCTCCACTCTCTCGTTGTGTGTGATCCGAGACCCGTGGGCGAGACCTGCGTGCATCAGCGTTGAGCACGCAGCAAGGCAGCCGCTGCTTCTTGAAGGTCGGTGTCCGAGACTCGAATGGTTGCCAGCGCTGCGCGCTCAGAGCAGAGGGTGCGCCCGCCCGCAGGGCAGCCCAGCGCTCGAGCTGCCGCCTCCATCTGATCCGCCTCGTGGGAGATGGCGTATTCTCGCTCCGTCAGGCCTACGGCGCCGAGAGAACGGTCGTGGGCAGCACACAGAGTGGTGGGCCACGACCCAGCGTGCGCGCCGCTCTCGGTGCCGTCGGGGTGCAGGTGCGCGTATTGGCCGTGGATATGCGGCACCTGGCGGGCAAGGGGTGGAAGCTGCTAGGTAGAGCACGGTTGCAGCGCTCGCGTGAGGCACGCACGTGGCAGTAAAAGAAGGCTGACGAGCAACCACCCCACACCTCCAGATCATGGTCGCAGCCCCTTCGGTGAGGAGGCTCGCCTAGCCACGCGCCGCGCAAATTTCAGAAGGGCGGACAGCCATAACGCCGCGTGTGGCAGCTGTTGCGCCTTCGGCCGAGTGCTCGAATGCGCTGTGGTGAAGGGTCCGGTTTGGGATGCACCAGAGCGACTTGATATCCAGGGTGGGGATCGCGCTGCGCAGCTCCTTGTGCCCTTTGAGCATGCCCCACAGCGCGCTCTGCTCGCGCTTGCCCACCGCACCCCACTGACCCCCAGGCCCGAACCGACGCTCCGCATCCATAGACCACCACGTCGAGAGAAGGAGCCGCAGAGAGCGCACGTTGTGGAAGAGGAGGTTGCCCGCGCACGGGTGACCGTGCTGCCACCAGCTGTTGTCCATGGCTATCGCCGCGATGCTTCCCGCCCGCTCGCTCAGCGAGTGGCGGCTCCCGCGCGGCCTGAATTGCGAGGGCGGGCTGGGTGAGCAGTGCGATCGCGCGCCCTCTGCGGCGCTGTGGGGCGGGGCCGCCTGAAACGCAGCAGCTCCTCGAGAGGCGTGTATGGCTGGTGCACAACCATATCCGAGTCGAGCAGAGCGATCCATGAGTAGCCAGCCTGTAGCAGCGGCGGCATGCGATCAAGATAGGACAGGGATGAGGGACGGGACATCCCGCTGCCTGAGCTGCAGCGGCCACGACGACGAAACGACACCACGTCGGCAGACGTGGAAGCGGGTGTCTGTCGAAGTGCGTGCCGTTCTCTGGCAGCGTCACGTACGCATAATCGTACCCATGGAAGTTTGCATAGAGAGCGTTGGCGTAGGCGGACCTCGCCCAGAATGCGCTACCGGCTGGCAGGAGGGCGCGCGTGTCGATCGAGAGCAAGATTGTTCGTCCACGAAGGCTGGGCGCCTCCTCGAGGGCTCTGCCCATGAGGCGCGATAGAAACCCGCCCGTCTCGGCTGCCGCGGCTGCCGCATCCGCAGTCGGAGCTGGGCGGGCCGGAGATTCAAACAGGCGCTTCATGGACAGTGGCGTAGGCATGTGCGCGGGTCGCTGGGCGGATGCGACCATGAGCTTTTCGACGAGTCGAAGCGGAGGCGATGGTGGCGGAGATGGGGGCATGGGAGGAGACGGGGGCGGCGACGGCGGCGATGGCGGGAACGGCGGCGGCGGGGGCAGGGGTGGCGGGGGCGCTTTCTGCGAGGCGCGCCGCGAGTGGAGAGACGCGATGCGGTGCGAAAGCTGGCGCCGGCCCCGACCCCTGCCCCAGAAGTCGGACGTCTTCTCCGCGGAGTGGAGCAGCAAGAGGGCGGCGACGACGAATGCAGTCATATGTGATCGGCGAGGGACGGACGCGTTGCACATATCTTCTGTTGCACTGTTGATTCTCGGGACTCTTATTGAAAAGAAATTCCCGGTGACTTTCGGAGTAGGTTTGAAGACCCGGGGTCCCGCACCCTCCCAGGGGGGCGAATCTCTTAGCCTTGTGTATACACAAAGTTTGGCGAATTAATACACGATGTCTCAAATTTGGGGGTTTGACTGCTGACGGCCCCTGTCGCTATCACTGGCAGCCTTGATGACCGGGATCAGTAGTGCTATGATAGAGGATGCCCAGATAGCGCAGCAGCTGCCTCACTCGCCCGGATCGTCCCCCTTTCTGGAGCAGGGGGTCTGGCTCGCAGCCTCTCGTCTGGCAGCGGGCTGCTGGCTGTGGGGGGGCAGCCGAAATAACGCGGCCATCAAGACGTTTGAGTATGAGAGGGACGGGTGGCGTTGTACTCGGGGACCCAGGACCCCACGCAGGTGACCCTGGCCAGACCTCTGAGCTCTGTCGAGGTGTCGACTACCAACCGTTACGACCGAGGTTCCCGAGACGATGACGGTGCCGATTATGTCCCCGTATATCGCCTTGTCCACGTGCTCTTGAATGGAGTCACCCGGCTCCATCCAGGTGGCCTGCACGTGGGAGAGCTCAAAGCCGCTAAGCAGGTGCATCGGGCGCTGTCCGGGAAGGGAGACGGTGATGAGTTGCCGCAGCTCTCTCTCGATATCGAGGAAGGCCGGAGGAGTGTTGGAGAACCGGCTGCCAGCAGCCGCTATCGAGGCCAACTTGGCCTCATGAACTGCGCGCCGCGCTGCATCACCCTTCATCTCGGGGACAGAGTACCACAATTTGATGTCAGTGCCTCCACGGTGCCCGATGCCGCTCGTGGATCCCCATGGTGCCCACACCGGCTGCGATGATTCAGAATGGCGGTTGGCCCTGCCGTTATCCTTCTGCAGTACCTCGAGGGCGTTGCTGACGTCGAGGTTGCTGACGACCGCGAGACCGCACGGGCGACCGTCATCCTCGAGCACGTTGAGCCGTCTCCAGCTGGGCATGCCTTGCGCGCGTACGCGGATACCTCTTGTGACGCCAAGTGTACGCGCTGGCGACAACGAGCACAGGCGTTCCGTAAAACCGGGGCGCGCGCGCGATCCACTGTTGCCGCCAAATAACGCACGGCCCAGCGGAGCTGGGAAGAGGACCGCGCAAGCGGCGTGGCGTGGAGCGGTTGAGCATCCCTCCGGGGGCCCATCTGCGCCGGGGAGGCGGTGTTGGAGGCTAGGACGCAAGCGTCCGTCGCCCTTTTCAAACTATGGGCCCACTTCCGCTACGCTCCGACCCGAATTTGGAGGGCCTGAAAGTTTAAGGTGTTGCTGCGCAAAAGGGGTCGGAGCTCGGACACAGGGCGCAGCTCATGCTAAGAGCTAGAACCCGAACAGTGTTCATGCTTTTTTTTTGAGACCATGAGACATGACAGAGAATCAATAGTAGGCAAAGCGCTCAGGGGCAGAGCACCTGACGAGAAACGAGAGGAGCCACAATGCACGGCACACACCGCCGCGCCCACACCCCCCTCATTGCTCTCAGAGACGGCAGTACCCCTGGAGCAGCCGGCGCAGCCTGGCCGCTGCGTCCTGCGACCTCGCCGTCGATACTGCCCGCGGCCTTCTCCCTCGGTCCACTCTCGCTCCCTGGCTCCCGTGCGCGTCCGTGTACTCGAGCGACGTACGGGCGCTGCCGCTTCTCCGCCGCGCACACGCCAGCGCCTTTTCTCCCCCTCGCGCCTCTCGCGGCCGCCCACTGGGAGGGGCGACGCTATCCACATCACGCCTGACAGGGGCGGGCGGCGGCCTCTGGGCACGGCGTGCCGACGCGGCCGGCCGACGCGCGCAGGCTACGCCACCTGCGGCTGGCTGATGCCGATGACCGTCTTGAGCAGCTCGAGGTCGGCGACGGACTGGGCGGTGGGCGAGGAGGCGGCCGCGGAGTTGGCCTGTGGCGCGAGGGGCGAAGGCGGGAGGGGTGAGCCGGCAGGTTGGAATGCCGCCTCGGCTTGATCTCGGCGAGGCGCGGCTCGCTCCTGGCACATGAGGAGAGCTCGCGTGTATCTCGTGCATATCTCGGGCATACCTCGCGCCTGGTACATGAGGTAGAGCTCGCCCTTCTCGTTCTCGCCCACCGAGGGGAGCGCGACCGACGAGGGCGAGAGGCGCGCGAACTTGAGCGCGCGGTCGAGCTCCTGTGCGGCGAAGGGACGAGCCGAGGGGTCACCCGCGGCTGGCCGGGGCACGGCCGGCACCGGAGCGCGCGGTCGGGGCGCTCCTTGACGACCTCCGTGCTCGCGCCGCGCCGCATGCACGCGGTCGCCTGCAGCACGCCCCCGGTGCAGCGCTTCGAGACGGCCTCGTCGACGAGGGCGGCGGCGCGCTCCTCCTCGATTTGCAGCGACTCGCACAGCTCGAGCAGCGCGGAAGAGTCGTCCGCCGTCAGCTCGTCGCCCTCGATGAGCGCCTCCATCTCGATGGAAAACATCTTCTCCAGCCGCGCCTTTGGCACGTCGAGGTCGTCGCGCAGGTTCACCTCGAGCAGGTCCGCCTCGGAGAGCACCTGCGGTGGAGGCGCAGCCGGAGGTGTGCCCGAGGTGTGCCCCAGGTGTGCCCGAGGTGTGCCCGAGGCGCAGCCGAGGCACAGGAGGTGTGACGGAGGAGGGGGGGGGGGGGGAGAGGGGAGGAGTCCGAGGCTGCGCGTTGCGCGGGGTGCAGGTGGCGGCGCGCCTTGCGGATCTCGTCAGAGTTGAGGTTGCTCTTCTCGAACATCGCCTCGATGAGGGCGGCCACGCGGTTCAGTCTCACGTCGCGGAGCAGCGCGTCGATCCGGTCCTGCTCACAGCCCAGAGCAGGTGAAGAGACGACGTCCACAGCGCCGCGCGGGCAGCGCGTCGGTCGGCGGCGCCTGCGGCAGCTCGAGCGTCGCGCGGATCGAGTCCACGAACTGCATCTCCTTGGCGCCTGTGGTACCCCAGCGCCGGGCCGCGGGCGTGAGGGGAGGCGCCGCAGCGGGGCGGCGAGGGAGGGGCGGCGGAGGGGGGCCGGGAAGGGCGCAGGGGGTGGGCGCAGGGGGCGGGAGGCGCGCAAGGGGCGGTTGCTGTCCCGTGCGGCCGCGTGCAGCCGCGCAGCGGTGGGGCGCCGCGCGGCCGCGAGATGTGCGGCGCGTCGCGGGAGGCTGCTGTCCGAGAGTACTGTGTAGTCTGGCTGGCCCAGTGGCGGGGCTACGACTGCGAAATCTCTCGCTCGCGGCGGCGAGTGCGGCGTGGCGGCGGCGAGCGGCGGGGCGGCGGCGAGCGGCGTGGCGGAGTGCGGCGGCGAGGGGCCGGAAGGGGCAGGGGGAGGGCGGGGAGGGCGGGGGTTGGCGGTCGCACCGAGCGGCCCCGCCTTGATCGCGTTGCCTGCGTAGCGGCGGATGATGATGGAGCCAAGCTCGTTGTGGACTTTGTTCACCTCGTGCGACTCGAGGCCGAGCACGAGGGCGAGCCGGCCGAGCGAAGTGAGCAGCCGCTGGTTCTGCGCCTCGTCCGAGCCGCCGAACGCCTCGATGAGGTACTGGCGGTACAGCTCGTTGAGCGCGCGCTGCTCGAACTTGCCCTTGAGCGACGTGGCGGCCACCTCCGTCTCCACGCCGTCGGCGCTCTGCGGCGTGAGCACGCGCGCCGCGAGCGCAAAGTCGACCAGGTTGAGCACCTCCGACGAGACGGCCCCTCCGATGCCCTTGTCGCCCTTGCTGTCGCCCTTCTGCGCCTCCTTTTGCGCCTCTTGCAGCGCCTCGAGCGCGCGCGTGCCAAACTCGCACATCTTGGCCTGCGCCTCCTCGACGAAGAGCGCCTGCGCCGTGTCGGGCGAGAGGACCATCCGCTCGCGCAGCGTGTCGAGGCCCGACCAGTACTCGTCCGGGATGGCGCCCGCGTTGCCCATGACTTGCTTGACGGACGTGCGGTACGCCTTGGCGCACGCCTGCTCGTGCACCGCGTACACCGCCTCGTCCTCGATGCCGAGGAAGGCGCGCAGCCCCTTGAGCTGCTCGCTCTGCTCCTCGCTCAGGATGGCACCGTTCTCAACCATGCCAGACAGGCGCGCCGAGTAAACCTCGAGGCCGATGGAGGCAGCAGACGAGGCTGGCAGCGCGAGGTCGGCGAGGGCGGCGGCCACCGCCTGCTTCGCCGCCGCGCTCAGCTCGCCTGCGACCGCCTCCTCCACCGCCGAACGGTAGATCGGCCCCGCCGCCGCCTCGTACACGCGCGCCGCCGCAACCTCGCTCATCCCGAGAATCAGGCGGAGCGACTCGAGGGCGGCCGCGTCGGCGGCCGAGACCGCCTTGCTCTGCAGCGCCTGCAGCAGGACGAGGCGGTACAGCGCCAGCACCTCTGCGTCCCGCAGCACCTGCGAGCAGACGGCGGGCTCGCGCGGCGAGTCAGACATGCGTCCGCCCCCCCGTGCCCTCCCGTGCGCGACAGCTCGCACCCCGTCGCCGATGCCGGCGTAGAGCGGCGCGCCCGACTCGGAGGCGGCGCCCGCGGCCTCGACGAGGGCGGTGGTGCGGTCGGCGTAGTCGAGGAGGGAGCGGAGCGACGAGACGGCGCCCGCCGAGTCCTGCACCCGCAGCGCCTTGCACGCCTCTCCGAGCTTCTCGGCCGCGCTGCCGCGCACAGCCCCCCTCAGCGCCTCCGCCGCCGCGTCGGCGCCCATCCCGAGCTGCTGCTGCCGCGTCGCCAGCCCGCTGACGAGCGGCGCGCAGCCGGCGGCGTCGCCGGCCGCGTCGAGCGCGCCGAGCGCCTCGCTCAGGCTCTGGGCGTAGAGCGGCGCCGTCAGCTCCGCCACCACCTCGGTCGCCTCGGGCTGGCCGAGGCCTGACGCAAGGGGTTGGACGCAGGCGGTTGGAGTGGTGAGAGGAGCGTGCGGAGGGGCAGAGGGTGTGGCCACACTGCGCGGCGCAGAGTGCGGCAGGGAGGCGACGACCGACGGAGCGGCGGCGTGTGGGCGGGGAGCGGCGGCAGGCGCAGCCCGGGTGGCGCGGAAGCGCGCGGGTGGCGGCGAGGGAAATGGAAATGTCTAGGAAGGCTCACCGAGCAGCTCGGTCACGCCGTCGAGCGCCGCCCGGTCCTCCGGCGTCAGAGCGGCGGCGGATCCGAGGTCGGGCGAGAGGAGGGCGCTCGCCTTCTTCGCAAAGATGTCGCGGTGCAGCTGGGCCGCCGTCGCCTCGGAGACGCCGAGCGAGTCGCGCATCCCGCCCAGCTGCGCCGCCGTCGCGGGGACGGCCTGCAAGACCGCCTGGGGCGAGGGAGGTGGAGGCGGAGGGAGGAGGTGGAGGGGAGGCCTCTGTGACGGCGCGGCAGTGAGTGAGTGGGTGGGTGGGGTGGGGGTGGGGTGGGGTGGGGGTGGGTGGGGGTGGGTGGGGTGGGGTGGGGTGGGGTGGGGGCGAGGAGGGGGTGCCTTATCCAGCGTGCCAGCATAAAAGGGGACGGCGACCGCTTCGGCGCGGTCGGACCAGTCCGCGGGGGAGAGGCCGAAGAGGCGCTGGGCGCGGAGCGACTCGTACCGGTACCCCTCCTCGCTCTCGTCCTTGGCAAAGAGCCGCTCCGCCAGGAAGATGTACTTTGAGAGCAGCGCCTGCGCTCGGCGGGCGGAGGCGGCGGGCGGAGGAGTGGGCGTGAGGGAGGGAGGGAGGGAGGGAGGGAGGGAGGGAGGGTGGGAGGGAGGGTGGGAGGTGGGAGTGCGAGCGAGCGAGCGAGCGTGGGTGCGGGCGTGGGTAGGCGTGGGTGGTGAGGGGGAGTGCGTGCACAGTCTGGGCGCGGGGAGCCCGAAACACGACGGTGGCAGGCGGGGCGGTGGCGGTGGGGTGAGGTGGGGTGGGGTGGGGTGAGGCCAGGCGCCTGCGCGTCGGCTGCGAGCGGCTCCGACTCGACGTCCGACTCGAGGTAGGCTCGGTGGCGAGAGTAGAGCGCGCGGCCGGCGGCGTAGACCTGGTTGCCCACCTGCGCCGCGCTCATCCCGAGCAGTTCCTTAAGCTGCAGCAGCTCCGACAGCTCCGCAGGCAGGACCTGCTTCCCCTCGAGGCAGGCCGAGAGGTAGTACAGAAACAGCTCCGACAGCTGCTTCTGGTAGCGAGGCTTGTCGACGCCAAAGGCGGGGGCGAGCGAGGCGATCTCGTCCGCTGTCACCGCCGACAGCCCGCGTTTCAGCAGCGCCGCCGCCGCCGTGCTCGCCGCCTCGCGCCGCTCCTCGTCGATCTTCTTGCGACCGACTAGCCCGAGCGCACCGGTGGCGGCGGCGCCGACGGCGTTGACCGCGATGCGGCTGGAGGGCATGAGCACGTAGCCGACCGCCGCCGCCGCCGCCACCAGCGCCGTCGAGCCGCCCTTGGCCGCCGCCGGCCCCAGGTCCTTGATCTTTTGCCGGACGGGCGTCTCCTGCTGCAGGTAGGCCTCGTACACGTCCTGCGCGGCGACCATGCGCGGCGCGAGCGGCGAGGCGGCGGAGGCGACAGCGCGGCGCGACGCCGGCGCCGAGGCCGGAGCAAAGGCGCCGAGAGCCGCTGGGCAGAGGACGAAGAAGGCCAGGACGCGTGCCATTCCAGATCGAGCTTCGCGCAGATGTGGGACGTCTTTTTCTTTTTAATCCTGGCGGGCTGAAAGTGAATTTTAATTACAGTAGGGGGAGGGCTCCCAGGGCTGATAGATCTTTTCAGTTGCAACCATCGTGATAGACAAGGCGTTCAGGGTGATAGGTGCGCGGCTGGCAAGCAGTGAGAGGTCGGTACTCGAGTACGGCTTTACTCCGCCTGTCGGTTACTCGATCGTGTTTGACGACGTCAAACAGTGTTTGACGTCGTCAAACACAAGTGGAGAATGGCCGTAGCTCCTCTCCACGAGCGATTGAGAGGACGTACCAAGTATCGATTCTGTATAGAATTGCAAGGCGCACACGCTGGTGCAGGCGGTGAGTCGTCGATCCGACTCGTTCCGCCGTGAAGTCGCCGTGAAGGGTTGGCAAACAGGGCCATTTCCTTTCTTTCTTCTTTCTTCCCAGTCAGAGTGAAGTGTGTGGCCCATGTATGTGTGTAGGAAGGTGAAGAACAGTCAGGCTCGGACTGGACACCAACGCGGTGTGGGTGGACGCTGGACAGATGATGACGACACGCACGAGCGACACACAGACACAAACAAGCTCACAAGAAACACCGCCAGCGGGCTGCCACACCACCCTGAGTGGGCGTACACATGGCCCAGAAGCGCTCACTTCGCCGACGCCACTTGCTTGCCGCCGCCGCGCCCATCTGGGCCGCTCACAGCCTGCCTGCGTCAGCTCTAGTGCGCGTCCTCATCGGATTTGTCTTCTCCGGACTCCTTCCTCGGCGTGGCTCACCCTCCATGCACCATCCATGCTGTGAACAGGCGCCCTAACTTGGAGCACTTGGAGTGCAGTCATTAACCTCACATCCAGGGCCGGGGAGCTCAGAAGCGCACCCAGCGGGCCGGATGATCGGTGTCGGGTTACGGGCAAGAGAGCCCTAGCCCCGGGGGTGCGCGTTCGCAGGGCAAGGGCCTTAAAGTAAACACAGTTCTCCGAGGGTTAGTACCGCGCTCCAGGTTTCCCCTAGCAGCAGAACGCCCCCTCTACTCGGAGCTACTAGCATGTTTTCTTTCTTTTTCTACTCGGAGCTAACCATCCTATATTCTTTCTCGCTCCTCTGCCCACCATGCTTGTTAGGTCTTGTCATTGTTTCGTGACTGTCCAAGGTCTGGATGGCGATCGATGCTGCCTTCCCCACCCACTACTCTCTACTGCAGTTCCCTCGCCACCTCTCCGGCGGAGTCGTTCTCTTTCCGGCGGAGTCGGTCAGCGAGGCACTAGACGGGCTACGGAACCATGCGCGCGCCGGCCCGGATAGGCTGCGCGCAGGGGCCGCGCCGCCTCGATTTCGCACCTCCGCTCCGCGGCCGGCTGAGGCGCTAGCTCGCCCGGCGACAAGCCCAGCCATCGCCCAGCGCCCCGTATCGACGGGGGGCACGCAAAAAACCCGCACCTACGACTAGGGTGAGCACGTGAGGCCGATGGTGTCGGCCGCGGGTGGGCTGCGAGGAGGGCGCGGGGGGAGCATGGGAGATGCACCACCGCTCGGCGAAGACGCGCCCGACGAAGCCCTGCTTTTGCGGAGGATGGTCGATCCTCACCTACTAGCGTCGGGCGTGTGCGAAAAAGAGCGGAAATCGGAGCTCAACTCGCGCGCGGCTGGGAAAGGGGTGTGGCACCTTCCGAAGGCGCCTAGCAAGGAGCTGCTGCTGCCCCCAAACGCGCTCGGGCAGCACTTCGGCGCGCCTGCGGGGTGGGCAGAGGTGAAACTAGGCTTACTGGCACGCGCATACCGCACCACCCCCACGCCCGCGCGCACACCATGCCGCCGTCCCACCTCAAAGCACCTCCCACATGGCCGCTTCCTCGACCTCTTCTTGGGCTATCAACCGGCAGTGGGTCGCCTCGCGAGCGACGTGGAGATGCGCGCGGATCCGGAGGGGCAGCAGGTGCCGTACGCCGTACGCCTCCTGCCTCGAGGCTGGCGGGCAGCATTCGTGCGACTGCTGTACGCGGCAGGCAGCGCAACCACGAATGGCCGCGGCACAAACTGGAGGCGATATGTAGCGCCCGGAGCTGATTAATATCGCGCGTGGTGCATATCAGCCAAAAAGGGAATCTGAGAGAATCTCGATAAAAATTCAGTTAATCTTGCGCAGATTTGCTGTTATGACTTGTCATGCTCTTCTTGGTACTTGGTCATTACCCTGCGGATTCAAAATTTGAATAGCCCTCATCTGGACCGAGATTAATTGAGATTGGGGGAGATTGGCGCGAGATTGGCGCGAGATTCTGATCTCGATGAGAAATGGCAGGTTTTAGCTGTCAAAAAGTGAAGTCAGCACACGATTTTACCCCGGGGAGGTCACACTTGGGAGTGATGAGATTGTAGGGGCGAGGCGGACCGGAGGCGGGCGATATGCGCTTTGTTGGTGGGAAGTAATTCACACCGTGGCGTTGACCGATATATATCCCGAGCGCTACATATCGCCTCCGGGGGCGCTACATATCGACGTCGATATGTAGCGCCCCCGGAGGTGGTATGTAGCGCGCCGACCGATATGTACCGCCCGGACCGATACATAACACCGGACGATACGTAGCGGGGGTCGCGCTACATACCGCGACCGCTACATACCGACCGCGTTCAGGCGCGACATATCGGGAGGGGCCACTTTCCTGACGCATGCAAGTTCTATCCCTCTAGTGGAACTGGGCAAGACGAAGAGCCACCCAGCCAAACTTTTCTTTTTCTTTTCTTTTAATACAGTGTTTCCAGTCCCGTGCCTACTCGAGTGGGAATGAATTCTTTTAAAACCAGCTGAAGCCGCCCTGTTTCTCGCCTACATCTCGTCGGCCCAGCCGACGCGGCCGTCTTTGGCATGATGTGGTATGTCGAGCCCGACGCCGGCTCCCACTTCGCGACGCAGCACCCCGTGCCCACGGACGATCTGCTGCGGATGCGCCTGCCACCCTCCACGCTCGTCTGGCGGGATGGGCTCGAAAACTGGCAACCGATCTCTGCGACAGCGGAGCTCACCGCCGCCGAGCCGCCACGAGTGGCAAAGCCGCCACCGCCGCCCGCGAAATTGCGGCTGGCACAAGCCTCGCTCCAGCGAGACAGCTCCGAGCTGAGTGCGCTGGGCACCGCTCGTGGCGAGGAAGACGGCGGCTGCAAACGAGGTGGCCCAGCGCCAGCTCAACCGGGCTGGAAGGCGGCGATGACGACCGACGGGGGCGTCTACTACCACAACGAGGCAACTGACGAGGTTTCGTGGGAGAAACCTCCTTCTCTGCAGACGGCGGAGGAGAAGCAGGCCAGCCAACCACATCTCCCGCCGGCGCAGCAGGGAGGACAACCTCTTACACGCCCCTCCTCTCGTCCTCCACTCCCCTCAGGTGGACGAGTCGGATTGCGCGTGGCTGCCCACGGCGGAGGGCTGGACGCCCGCCTTTGTCTGCGCGCGGAGCAGCAAGGGCAGGGTGCGGCTGCGGCCTGTGGACGGCGGTGCGACGGTGGAGCAGCCCTCGGAGGGACTCGTCCCACTCAAGCTGTCGTACCTCGACGCGGCGCCCGACGACCTCGTGATGCTCGAGCAGCTCGACGCGCCGCTCATCGCCCACTGCCTGCAGAAGCGGTACGCGGCCGATAAAATCTACACGTGGGTGGGCGCAGACCACTCGGTCCTCATCTCGATCAACCCCTTCAAGCACCTCCCCATCTACGGGCAGTACTTTTTGGAGCGCTTCGCGGCGCCCGCGCCCAACCGCGACGTCGAGCCGCACACCTACGCCCTCGCCCGCCGCGCGTTTCGCGGCATGATGGACGCACGGCGGGATCAGGCGATCCTCATCTCGGGCGAGTCTGGCGCGGGCAAGACGGAGGCGACCAAGCAGTGCCTCCACTTCCTCGCCGACGCCGCGGGCACCAAGTCTGGCGTCGAGCAGCGCATCCTGCAGGCGAACCCGATCCTCGAGGCCTTTGGCAACGCAAAGACGGTGCGCAACGACAACTCGTCCCGCTTCGGCCGCTGGATGGAGGTGCACTTCGAGTCGTCCGGCCGCGTCGAGGGCCAGATCGCGGGCGCGTTCGTCGAGTCGTACCTGCTGGAGAAGTCGCGCGTCGTGGCGCAGGCGGCGGGAGAGCGCTCCTTCCACATCTTCTACCAGCTCTGCTCCTCGCCGCGCGCAGCCGGCCTCGGCCTCCGCCCCGCCTCCGAGCACCGCAGCCTCGGCCGCGCCGGCTGCACAGCCATCCGCGGCGTCGACGACGTCGCCGACTTCGAGGCGGTGCTGTCCTCGCTCGCCGCCATGGGCCTCGGAGACGACGAGGTCGGGTGGGCGCTCCGGCTCTGCGCCGCCTCCGTCCACCTCTGCGACCTCGACTTCGAGCCGTGTGACGGCGGCGACGGGTCGCGCGTCGCCGCCGGCTCCGCCACCCCCCTCGCCGCCGCCGCAGAGTGCCTCGGCGTCGCGACGAGTGCGCTGAGCGCGGCGCTGGTCGAGCGGGCCGTCGTGGTGCGCGGAGAGGCGCAGCGCATCCGCAACACCGCTGGCAAGGCCGAGGAGGCGTCGGCCGCGCTGGCAAAGGCGGCCTACGCGGGCCTCTTCCGCGACCTGGTGCGGCGCATCAACGCCGCGTGCGGCGGCGAGCGGGGGCGGCTGATCGGCGTCCTCGACATCTTCGGCTTTGAGATCTTCGAGGCGAACTCGTTCGAGCAGCTCTGCATCAACTTTGCAAACGAGCGGCTGCAGCGCACCTTCTGCGAGCACACCTTTGAGAACGAGCAGGCCTCGGCCGCACCACGGCCGCACCTGTCCTCGGATGAACCTCGGATGAACCTCGGCCGCACGGCTGCTGCACCTCAAACGCTCTTCGGCTGCACCTCGGCCCGACCTCGGCTGCACCTCGGCCACACCTCACTCGTTGAGGCCAGCACAGGCCGTCTACGCCGACGAGGGTATCGCGTATGACAACGTCCCCTACATCGACAACGCGCCGGTTCTCGCGCTCCTCGCGGAGAGGCCCTTCGGGCTCCTCAACTTGCTGGACGAGGAGGTTCGTGTGCCCCAGGGCTCCGACGCCAAGTGGCTGGAGAAGGTGTCGCAGCGCCACGCCGACCACCCCGCCTTCGGCGCGCCAAAGCAGCAGGGGAAGGCACGGCGCGACTTCTTCTGCGTGCGGCACTACGCCGGCGAGGTGCGGTACAGCGCGGATGGGCTGGTCGAGAAGAATGCCGACCGCCTCTCGCGCGGGCTGTACGACCTGCTGTCGGGGAGCAGCTGCGGCCTCACCCGCGCGTGCTTCCCGCCCAAGGACGACGCGATCGCCGGCCGGGTCCGGACCGTCGGCGAGGAGTGGCGCTCCCAGCTGGGGGGGCTGATGCAGAAGGTTGGCCGGATGTCGCCGCTCTTCATCCGGTGCGTCAAGCCCAACCAGCACAAGCGGCCCGGGCTCGTCGAGTCCAAGGCAACCATCGACCAGCTCTCTTGCGCCGGCCTTTTCGAAGCCGTCCGAATCCGTGCCACCGGCTTCCCCTTCCGGCACAGCCACGCGGAATTCGCGCGCCGCTACCGCTGGATCGCGCGCAAGCGAGGGGGCTGGGTTATCGGTCCGCTTCCGGCCCACCCGACGGCGGAATACTGCGCCTCGATCCTCAGCTCCGTGGCGCAAGACTTCTCGGCAGTGGAGCTCGGCCGCTCTCTCGTGCTGTACCGCTCGCGCGAGCACAGGCTTCTCGAGCTGCTCAAGAACCTCTCCCTCGGCCGCGTGCTGCAGCACTTCCAAGCCGCGTGGCGGCGCCGCATCGGCCGCAAGTTTCGCAAACTGCTCCGGCTCGCGCTCGAGGGGCTGCGCGCCTCGCTGCAGACGGTGCTCTCGCGCGCGAGCTTGGGAGAGGGCGACGCCGCCGCGCTCGAGGAGGCCCTCGCCACGTACCACGCCACCCTCGGCCGCGTCGGCGCCCTCTTCGTCGAGTACGAGCCGGCCGAGCTCGAGAAGGCGCGCGCCGTCCTCCGCGCGATCCGCGAGCGGAGGCGGCTGACCGAGGACGCGCGGGCGCTGCTCGCCGTGCCCGATCTGCGCGATCTCGACCTCCTCCAAGCGCTGGCCGGCCGCTTCGCCGACCCCGCCTTCTCGCTGGTGGCGCCCACCGCGGAGCAGGCGGCGGTGGAGGAGGCTGTCAAGGCGCTGCACGAGAGGACCGTCGGCGCCCTCGAGCGAGCCGCCGAGGAGGCGCACCGGCTCCTCGACCGCGACGCGATGGAGGCGGTGGCAGCGGAGGCGAGCCGATACTCGTTCACCTCGGCGGCGCTGGCGGTGGTTGCCGAGGCGCGCGCGGCATCGAGCGCATGTGGGAGCTGCGAAATAGCGCTCACACCGCGCGCGTCTTTGGACTTTAGGCGCTGGGCATGGAGGAGCGCGAGCTGGTGCAAGCGCAGCTCACGCGCGCCGTGGAGATGGGCGACGCCGACCGGATCATCTCGAGGGAGGCGCGCGCTAGCCTCGTCACTGCCCCCTTGCCCCGCGCGAGCGCGCGAGGCCCCTCACCATTGGCGATGCCTCGCCTCAGGTGGCCTTGCGGAAGCTCCTCTTCGACGCGCACCCGCAGCAGTACGCGCTGGAGCATTACGCGGGGCTGCGTCCGCCGGAGGAGTGGGCGGCGAGCAACCTCGCGAGCGTTGGAAGCAACCTCGCCGCCGGCAAGGTGCTCGGCAGCGGAGGCGGCAAGGCGGAGCGAGCGGAGGGCATGCTGCGTCACGCGGCCGAGCCGATCCACCGCTCGCTGCTGCGGCACGACTCGCCGGGCCTGGCCAAAGAGGCGACGCGCCAGTTCAAGAATCTGCTCGCGTTTTGCGGCGAGCGCAAGGCGGCTCAGCCCGAAAGCAGCGCCGCCGAGTGGCTTCGCGCTGGCGTCGAGGAGCCGTCCTTGCGCGGCGAGATGTACGTGCAGCTGCTGAAGCAGCTCTCTGTCCCTCTCGCCGCCGGCGGGCGGGCGACGCAGCGCTGCTGGCATCTGCTCGCCGCCAGCCTCGCGCACTTCCCGCCTCCGAAGCCGCTCGAGAATGTGGTCGGCTGCTTCATCCACACTCAGGCGGCCCCGGGCGAGCGGGGGACGTACGAGGCGCTCGCCCCTCGCGCCTCACGGTCGTCCACAGCGTGAGCGGCGCCATCTCACAGATGCGGCGGTGTGAGCGTAGGTCCTCCTCCACACCTCGATCTACCGGGGCGCCTCGCCCCTCTGCGTCTCCTGCTCGGTCGGAGACGCCCTCGCCGCCTCCAGCTCGCTCGACCTGAGCGGGGCCCTCGCCGGCGAGGATACCGTGAGGGCGAGCCGGATCCCCGCCATCGCTCCTCCGGCGCCGCGGACGCCACCGCCGCAGGCGCCGGCGCAACGGCCTGCGCCGCCGCCGCAGGCGCCGCCGCCACGGATGCCGGTGCCACGGGCGCCAGCGCCGCGGCCCGCGCCGCCACCGCGCACGCTAGCAGCACCGGCGTCGCCGGCGCCACCAGCACCGCCGCCACCGCCCCCGCCTCCCCCGCCTCCGCCGCCTCCGCCGCCTCCGCCGCCTCCAGCGCCAAAGGCTATCGAATGGCACCGACAGCTCACCTCGTCCCATGGGACCTCGCGGGGCACCACCTCGGTAACACGTCCCGGACACACAAGTATAGGTATTACACCGACGCCCTTTGCCAGGCCGTCCACGGGCCCGTGAGTGCATCGCAGCTCTCGCTGCTGCGGCTCGAGCCGCAGGCCCTCGCGTGGAACGAGGCGATGGCCGACTGGAGCCCCGTGGCGGCGATCCCAGAGCTCGCCGCGGCTGCAGGCGCCTAAGTTGTGTGGAGTGTCGGGAGCGTGGAGGAGAGCTGGATGGACCGCTGACCGCGGCTCGTGAGTCCCTGGTACTCTTGAGACGCGACCGCCGTGAACGAGGTCAAGCGTGAACGAGGTCAAACGTGCACGAGACACGGAGAGAGAGAGAGAGAGAGTACGAGGGTGGCATTAGTGAAGCGAGACGTCGCTCCAGCCACGCATGTCCACCACCGACCGCGACGCGGTTGCTTCAGAGCCCCCGGGGATCGGCCGGCTCGCCGCTCACGGGCTCACGCCACGATGTCGGATGGATGCGGCCTTGGAGCACGCTACGCCACGAGGACCTGGACTCGAGGACCAAGATAGGCCCTGGAGATCTGGCGGTAGCAGTACATGAGCGTGGATGCGACTGCGTCCATGACCGTCCCCTCCTCTCCGCCGTCCGCGGTCTTGGCCATCGAACGGCATTGCGGCAGGCGGGCGGCTTTAGCAGGCACCAGCACTTGGTTTGCGCGCTGGAGCGCCAGCGACTCAGCGCGCTGCTTCAGCACCTGCTTTGCACGCTGGAACGCCGAGGTCTGAGCGCCCTCCTGATCAGTTGCGGCGGTGTGCGGCCGAGCATCGATCACGTTTGGGCCAACGAGAAACTGGGCGACGAGCACCACGCGGCGCCCGTGGGTGACGCTGTGCCCCGCATGCCAAACCGAGCCGTCGTGGACGGCGCAGGTGCCACGGCCCTGCCGAATCACGACGTCGCCCGAATCGTCGATGTAGCGCGTGCCGCCGCCCTCGTACGAAGAGGCATCGCTGAGCTCGACGATGACGGTCTGTCGGATCCCGTGGGGGTGCACCGCCCCGTCTGCACGGCGCGCAGGGGTCACAATGGGGTGTCACAATGGGGTCGGCATGGTGCGGGGGCGCGCGTCTAACATGGGCGCACCTTGGTGAGGCGGCGTCCCCACCTGAACGTGCCCCGACCCGCCGGCAGCAGCAGCAGCCACGTCGTACACGGACAGGAAGAGGTTCGATCGGAGTGGGAACGAGAAGGGAGAGAGGCGCAGCCACGGGTAGCGCGCGCGGAGGAACGGGATCACGTTGTCAGCCATGGCCCGCCGGAACACGTCGAGTGCCGTCTCGTTGATGTTGAAGTACGAGTACCTTTTTGTCGTCACTCGCCGTGCTGAAGTACGCTCGAGGCGGCGAGTGACGATGGTCCCTGACGTCAGGAAGTTGCACGGCCGCGTCACGTCGTAGACGCAATTGCAGTCGTAGCGGCCTTGATTGCACACGCGTCGCGGCGTCTCGAGCGGCTCGAGATGCCGGATAATGCTCTCCGCCCTGCGCGTGGCGGGGGGAGCTGGCTCGGCTCGTGAGGCGAGAGGTGCGACGGGCGCGTAAATTGCAGGCGTCGCACGGCGGAGAGGGTGGGTTGCGGGCTGGGGCTGGAGGCGCGCACTCTTCCAAGAGGAACGCCGCGTCAGCCTCATCCATGCACGCGAACGAGTACGCGACCGGCGACGCACCAGCGAATGAGATCGTGCCGTCGCGGGCACGCTCGAAGCCGGTTTGGTCGAAGGAGACTCCGAGAGCGACTTGACCGGTGGCGTGCACCACGCGCTCCGAGTCGAGGCACAGTCCGCCGGTGGGGAAGGCGTGCGACTGGAGAGGGACCAGGAGGAGGTTGAGCACCATGGCGATCGGCCGCGCCTTAGGCGAGAAGCGGACGGAGGTTGCGGGCGGCGGTATATGCAGAGGAAGGCACGGCGGCGGCGGGGGCGGGAAATAAGGTGGAGCGGTGGCGTGCGGGCGCAGTGGGTGTGGCAGTGACGAGGGTAGCGGGGCAGCAGCAGGGAATCGAGTGGCGGTCATCGTTCTGGGGCATTCTTACACATCGTGTCTCGCCGCGAGCGCTGCCGTCCGGGCAGTAGTGGCGCGGGCGACGGATGCTGCAGCTCATTAGGCGGCGAGTGGGAAGCTTGCGAAGGGCGGGGCAGGACACAGGGAATGGCGATCGAGCGCACTTGAGCGGCGGACTTATTGGCGATATGCGTTGTGCGAGGCGAAATGGGACAGGCAAATCGGGCAAAAGAAAGAAGCGCCTGCGTTTTCTGCGCCCTGATCGTCCTTCCAAAGGCCCTTGATCTGCAGGGTGGGGACTCTGTCCTCCTCCCACCCCTAGCTTGACTTGGCTGTCCGCTTCCGTCTTTCTTTACCGACTCTGACACACCCACAAACACGACGAGCGGGATGTCTCCCCGCACCTCTCACAGGGCCACTAACTGTCACCACACGAGCCGCCTCTGCGGCGTGTCTCGCCGTTTGAGCTGGCCGAATGACACCTCCTCGTCGGAGCAGCGGACGGCGGTGAACGCCCACTTCTCGGAGAGGAACATCAGCAGGTAGGTTTGCCCGCCAAGGGCCACATACACCGAGTCCTTGCGCCACGGCGACGGCACAGGACCCCACGTCCCTTCCCCCCACGGAGAGGAGAGCGCACCGCCTGCGCGGAAGTGGACGCCGCCTCCCTCTCCGCTCCACGACCACTCCTCGTTTGCGGCGAGGAGCGAGTCGCCCAGCTTGAAGTCCTTATAGCCCTTGTCGCCGAGCGGCGGCATGCGGTCGGTGTTGACGCCGACCTTGCCCGAGCAGCCGCCCGTGTTGCGCCCCTCGCCGCCGTTCCAAGGCTTGAGCGCCGCGTCGTCGCCGCCGTGGTAAAACGCCTTGATGGAGACCATCCTCGCCTCCTTCTCCGGGTGGTAGTTGACGTGGCACGAGACTGGCACGTGGCGGCTGCGGTCGGCGAGGGCGGCGTCGGAGCGCATGTGCTTGAAGAGGAACTTTGTGTTGAGGAAGCACATGTAGTTCATCGTGCGGACGGTGACGCCCGCAACCTCGTGCGAGCCGTACGCCAGCCGGAAGATCTCCTGCGCACACGCGAGGCGGGGCGCGTCAGGGCGGGCCTCGCGCGGCCGACCGCGGCTCTCTCTCGGACGCTCCTGGTTGTACGCGCTCTGGTCCCAGACCGCCTCCGCGGCCACGCGGCGGGCGAGGATCTGCATCAGCCGCAGCGAGGGCCGCGTCGCGCCTGCTCACGGCTGCGTGCGTGAAGAGAGGCGGGGCTGGCCCAGCCGGGGGCGAGGGTCGCGTGGCGGCCGAGGTAGAAGAGGCCCGAGTTGCGCGCCACCAGCCGGAGGGAGGCGAGGGGAGGCTCCTTCGAGCCCGGCATCGCCGTCGGCAGGACGTGGCCGTAGGCGGTGCGGTCGTCCCACCCGTCCGTCATGCCCTCGACGTCCGTGTCGCGGTAGAGGCCGAGGAACGGGTCCTGCTCACGCGGACGAGGCGTGAAGAGGCGCACCTCTCGCGCCGCGTCTCTCTGCGGAGGCCGAGCAGGTCCTTGGTGATGACGATGTCGACGTCGGAGAGGAGGACCGACACGCCCACCTATCCGCACCCCACCCCTAGTCACCACATCTCTCCCCATATCTCCCCACATCTCCCCTCGCGGCAGGGCGGGGCAGCCACGCCGCACCGACAGCATCTCGGCGAGAATTTGGAATTTGAGCGACGAGGTCGCGTGGTTGTCCGTGCCGCCGCCTCGCGCGCGCAGGCTGCGCCGGTACGAGGGGCAGCCTCGCCCGTCGAGGAACTGCTTTGTCCGCTCGTCGAGCGCGACGACGAGGAAGTTCGGCACGCCGACCTTTTGGACGACGTCGACGAACTGGCCGAGCATCTGCAGGATGTTCGAGTTGGAGACCTGTGCCCGCGGGGAGGCGTGAGCAGACGCCTCCGCGCCGCCGCCCCGCCGCGGGGGCGCGGTAGCACCGCCGCCATCACCGCGCGCCCCACCGCCACCTTCTTCACCACCTCGCACAGCTCAGGCAGCTCGGCGCAGTTGACGGGCCAGGGGCCGTCCGCCGGCGCGATGAGGTCGAGCGGCTTGGTGTCGCCGCCCGCGGGCGCGTACCCCTTGAGGCCCGGCGGCTGCTTCTCGCAGCGCGAGGCGAGGACGAGCTCCTTTGTCGGCGCGTGCACCTGCGGTGGCGTGACACGGCTTGCAGGCTGCGGCTGGCGGGGGAAGGGGAGGGGCCGGGGGGGGGCGGGGGGGGGGACGGCCAATCTCTCGCCGAATGAATGTCGCGCAATCTCTCGCCGCCGGCCGCTCTCGGGCGCGCGATTCGTCCGCTCTCGGGGCGTCCTCCCGCGCCGCACCGGCGCCGCGCGCATGAGCGGGTCGATGGCGGTCCTCTCGACGGCGGAGCGGTGCTGCAGCGACCCGGTCGTCGCGCTGCGCCAAGCCTCGCCGAGCGGCGCGCCGCGGTGGTATGAGCCGGCCGCCGCCGCCTGCCGCTCCGCGCCGCCCGCCGCGCCGCGGCCAGGCAGCAGCGCCGCGTGCCGGGCAGAGGGAGGGCCTCCGCCCGGCGCCGCGCCGAGGCGCGACAGCGCCGAGCGCGCGTTCAGCCAGCAGTCGACGGGCAGGATGCGCACCTGCTCACGGGCGGGGCGGTGAAGGCCCTCCGCAGCCAGCATCGGCGGGCGGCGGGGCGCGCGCCGAGGCGCCGACGCGAGAGACGCCGTCGAACGCGGGGAGCAGCAGCTCCTGGCTCAGCGCTGCGCCCTCGCCGCCCTCCTCGCCGCCTCCGACCCCCCACGCCGCGCCCGCCGCCGCCGGCCAGCCCTCGGCCGCCGCGCGCGCCGCCATGCGGTTCGCGACGGCTACCGCCTCGCGGGTCGGGCGAGCGAAGAAGAGGGCGGGCGAGAGGGAGGCGACGACCGACGTCTCGCAGTAGCGCGACCAGCCCATCGAGGGGTCGTCGGCGCCTGTCCAAGCAGCGAGGCGTGAAGCGACGCCGTCCACACGCGCACCGCCGGCGCCCGTGAGGGGGCCTCGGGCTACCTCGGCCGCATCTCGGCTCGGTCTCGGGCTACGTCTCGGGTACGTCTCGGGCTACGTCTCGGGCTACGTCCTCGGGTCTCGGCCAGGGTCTCGGCTAGGCTTGTCCCATGATGAAGCCGTGGGCGGACTCCTCGTCCCACCCGTCCGAGAGGAGCTCGAAGTCAGAGTCGAGAGAGGCGAGCTCGAAGGGAGGCGCGCCCAGCACCGCGTCCGCGTCCGCGTAGAGCAGCTCCGCGCCCGAGGCGAGGAGCGCAGACAGGGCCCGCCACTTGAGGGCGAGAGGCGTGCTCCTGTCCACAGCCGGAGGCGTGAGCAGGCGCGGTGCCGCGGCGCGCATGCCGTCGGAGCGAGCGCGGCGTGCGCCCAGCCGCGGCGGCGGACGGCGCGGGAGGGAGCGACTCGCCTGAGGGGAGGCGCGGTGAGGGCGGGGCAAGGCGCGGTGAGGGCGGGGCAAGGGGCGGTGAGGGCGGGGCAAGGCGCGGTGAGGGCGGGGCAAGGCGCGGTGAGGGCGGGGCAAGGCGCGGTGAGGGCGGGGCAAGGCGCGGTGAGGGCGGGGCAAGGCGCGGTGAGGGCGGGGCAAGGGGCGGTGAGGGCGGGGCAGGCGGAGTCGGCAGGCGGAGTCGGCAGGCGGAGTTGGCAGGCGGAGTCGGCAGGCGGAGAGGCGTCGGGTTGACGTCGCTCGCGCGGCTGGGCAGTGGGAGGAGGGCGGCGGAGGAGGGCGGGGTCGCGGCTCGCCTGCTGCGAGGTCGGCGATCGCGGGCGGCGGCGCAGCTGCGGCGGCGCAGGCTGCAGCGCCGTCCGAGGCGGCGCCTGCTCCGAGTGCGAGGGCGAGGAGAGGTACCTGGGTAGCAGGTGGAGCAGGCTTGTGCAGGTGGAGCAGGCTTGTGAGGCGCACACTCCAAACTCGTGCGAGGGCCCTGTGCGAGGAGGGGCGCCTTGAGCGCCGCCGCCGAGGAGGAGAGCGTGGCGAGCATGCCACCCTGGCCCGCCACGAAGGAGGTGACCACAAGCCGGCCGCCTCCTCCACCGCCGCCGCCACCGCCACCGCCAAACTGCAGGGCGGAGGCGAGCGCCGCGCAGAGGGCGCTGCCCGCGACGCACGTCCCTCCCGAGAGGAGCCGCAGCTGCCGCTGCCGCACCGCGTCGGGCGTCGGCCTGCAGCTCTGCGGGAGAGAGCCGGAGAGGGCAGATGCGCGGGCAGCGCCGCCGGCAGAGGAGGCGGCGGAAGCGGCGCCGGCACCGGCAGCTGCGCCGGGTTTCACCACCGCCTTGCGGTGGGAGGCTGCTGACGGGACTGCCGTCTCTGCGACCACAGTCTCTCTCTTCATCCGCGGCCGGGTGGGCGGCTGACGGCGGGAGTGCAGCGAGTCGTCGAAGAGAGTGTAGTTTGCGAGGACAAGGAGGGCGAGGCCGGTCGCCGCGAAGGAGTAGAAGAGGCAGGAGGCGCGCATGACGATCGGCAGAGATGCGGGACGCACAGATCGGGCACAACGAGCGGTGCCGGTGGGGCGAGAGCGTCAGGATGCTGGCGCTTTGCCGGGCCGCCAACTCTGCAGGCCGAAGTAGATTTTTTTTAGAGCCGGCTCTAGGTTCGACCCAAATGTTAACAAACACATCTCGGGCTCACAGCAGACAGGCTCAACACAGGTGCGGAGTGTGCCGCGTGCTAGCACTATCAGGACGAAAAGAATTGAACGCAGATTCGATCGTCAAGCCACGGGACTAGTGCCGTCCTCCCATCCCTCCCTCCCGTGGTAGTTTTCTTTCTTTTGGGGGCACGGGATGGCGCGCATGGCACAAACACAGGCACACTACTACAGGCGAAAAGAATTACCCTGAGGGAGGGTGAAGAGGATGTGGAGACAAACCAGAAAGTCGAAGAGGATTTATTCGCTGAAGAGGATTTTAAAAGACAAACCAGAAAGTCGAATTCATGGCACGTCCGCGTCCCCCTGCGCGCCGCACACTCACATAATGATTAAATCACTCTGCCAAAAAGTTTTTCAAGTTTTGGGCCCCCCCTTTTGCCCCATTTTTTGTGCGCCCTCCCCTGGGGAGGGGCCGCCCATTGTTGGGTCCCCCCCCGGCAAAGTTGCACTTTTAAAGCCAGGGCGGCCCCCCCCCCCCCCCCAGCAGCAGAGCTCTGGTGCTGGGGGGGTCGGGACCCGCCCCCCAGCAGCAGCGCTCTGCTGCTGGGGGCCGACCCACCCCCCAGCAGCAGCGCTTTGCTGCTGGGGGGGTTCGGACCCCCCCCCCCCAGCAGCAGAGCTCTGCCGCTGGGGTGCTGGCCGATCTCTGTACAGCCAGTTGTAAGTAAGTAGCGTTCCAGTGGCGAGAATTTATGGTCGGCACCAAATCAGAGGAGAGAGGTCTCACTGCGGACCCTCCTACTGCCAGCCAGGCGGCGCGGTGAACACAACCGCCTCGAGCGTACCGCTCAAACACGAGCCGAGGGTGCTAGCCTGTAGCCGTGCCGCGGTAGGAAGTACGTCGCAGGGGGGGTGAGTTTTGACTTTTGCGGTACCCGCAAGGCACACAGCTGTAATGCACATAAATAATCGGTACAAGTGGCCTGCCCCGGCCGTGACCCCAATCCCCCTGGAGGCGCGGAGCCGCGGGAGGGCGCCAAGCGCAACGCCCACAGAGAGACACAGGACCCCGCCCATTTCTCTCGCTCGCTCATGCCTCCATCACCCTCACCACCGGCGGGAGGCCGGTCGAGAGACGCGCGGAGATGGACTTCGGGGGGCTTGCCGCTGGGATGGCGACCGTGACGCCGCCACGATCGAAATTCTCGATGTCCTTGCCGCACACGGCGGTGCGAACTATCCCCGTGTAGGCGCAGAAAGCGATGGTGACCAGTGCGCCGGCTCCGACGAGAACGCCTGCCAGGAATGAAGCGACAGAGAAGCCGACGAGGGCGAGATTCGACGCCTCGCTAGCCTAATACAGCACAGCCGGTGAAGAGGTGGGCCGCTAGCGGGTCGAGGCCCGTTGCCGCTGCCACCTCGTAGTAGTCGCCGTGCACAATCAGTGGCGTCGGCACCGCCTGCGGATCGGTGCATGCCTCCAGGCCGGCGGTCGCGTTGAGCGAAGGTACACTGCTAGCGTCTTGCTCGATGTGCTCCACGGTGAGCGGGACGGCGAGGGTCGCCTCGCCGGTTCCGTTCCGCTGCAGGACCCGAGCCTGAAGCATGCCCAAGTCTGCTTGCTGCAGCCGCCGGCCTGCCATCGCGAGGAGGAAGGCCGCATTCGAGACGTAGGCGATCGCCTCGCCGATGTCGAGAGTGAAGTCGTGCTCCCACGCCTATATTCAAAGAGGCACCTGTGGAGACATGCTTCACGGCATGGTCGAGCGTAAAGTGCTGCGGTGTACCCCATCGTCGAGGTCGAGCGTCCCCGTAAGGAGGTACTTGCTGCGGCCAATGTCGAGCAGGAGCACCTATTCGCTGGGCCGGGCTACCCCGTAAGGGGAGGAGCGCCAGAGGGGAGCGGAGAGAGGAGAGGCAGAGGGGAGTGCCGCGTCATACAGGTCGAGCCGCCGCTGGCCGAAGAAGTTGAGGGTGAAGAGCGTCACGTGGTAGAGGCGCACGGTGATGACAGGCCCGTGTTCCGACGTCCACGCCGCGGTGAAGTCGACATTCAGGTCAAACAGCTCGAGCGTCGACGCCATCCTCGTGCTCCACCGGCCGGCGCTCGTGACCTCGCTCTCAAGAGTGACCCCGCGGATGGCGACGCCGTTGTGCCTGCTCGACGGCTCGACAATCGCGATGCGGGGGATACGAACCCTCGTGTACAGGCTCACGGCGCCCGATCCGTGGTGCGGCACCGTCAGCGCCGCGTCGACGGGGAGCATCTCGGCGAGCCACTCGAGCGTGTCGAGCTTGTCGATCCCGTTAAGGGCGCTGTGCAGCAAGTCGGTCGAGGTCAGGCCGTACACTTGCAGGTAGATGCCAGTGACGCCCTCGTGCAGCCGCACGGGCGCGACGACAGGGTGGTGGAGGGCCGTGGAGAGGCCGTGCTCGAGCGTGCCCACCGCCCACTCGAGCTTCTCGTACGGGGCAAAGACGCTGCCTGATGCCTACACCGACGGAGCGGAGTTGGTCAGGTGTGCTCTAATCAGGTGCGGAGGCGGCATGACGCCACACCTCCTCTCCCGCCACCCCATTGATGGCCCTGAGTAGCTCCGCGCTGACTCCGGCCGCGTCACCAAGAACGCAGAGCGCGAGGCGGCCGAACGCATCCATCGGTGGCCAGTCAACCGGCGCAACGCTCCACGTGAGCGCGACGCGGCTGTCGTAGCCCACGTGCAGCCTTGCGCCCGCTGTGAGAGTCGACGCCTCGCCCAAGGCCGGGCAGTGCATGCTCGCCACCCCCTCCGCTTGCAGGTAAAAGGTGGTCCGCGTCGTGCGCTCCCACGCGCTTGCCGCCGTCTCCGAGTAGAAGCCCGCCTCGACGTAGAGGTTGCTGAGCGAGAGCCACTGCTGGCCAAAGGCGGCGGAGAGGTCGTCGTGCTGGTACTGAGCAAGCGCGCCCACAGTACCGTTGCGCGCGGCGGCGGCAGCGCTCAGCCCGTCGAGGCCCGAGATGTGCTCCTGCTCGCCAAGGGGGTGCTGGCCCTCGACGGGGAAGCTCAGCATCGTGCCGAGCACGGAGATGGTGACGTCGGCCGACACGTGGATCGCATCGGGGATGAGGGCGGCGCACGCGTCGGTGACCGTGATGGCGCCCACCGCGATCGGGCCGGCGAGGCAGGCGAGGGCCTGTGCTCGGAGAAGGCGAGGAGGCGTGAGTGGAGAGGGCGGTATGAGGCGGAAGGCGTGAGTGGAGAGGGCAGTATGAGGCGGAAGGCGTGGCTGGGCGACACCTGGCCAACGCCGAGGTCAAGCTGCGGCTCACGGTCTCCGGGAGAGCACACGGGCAGCGACTCGCACAGCAGGTCCACGAGGAGGTCGGGGGACGGCGAGGAATCGAGCGCGCCGTCGGGGGCGCCGCTGCCGGCTTCGGGAGCAGGTGACGAGGGCGGGGGAGACGGCGGCAGAGATTCGGTGGATGTCGCGGTGGGCGAGGGCGGCGGCGGTGGTGGCAGTGGCGGCGGTGGCGACGGGGACAGCGGTGAGGGTGGCGAGGGCGGGGGAGACGGCGGCAGAGATTCGATGGATGTCGCGGTGGGCGAGGGCGGCGGCGGTGGTGGCAGTGGCGGCGGTGGCGGCGGGGACAGCGGTGAGGGTGGCGAGGGCGGGGGAGACGGTGACGGCGAGATGCAGCAACCGCCACATTGCGGGCAGACGGCCAGCAAGTCGAAGTTGCCGTTCTCGCATGAGACCTGCTCCCATTGTGAGCAAGGCAGTGTGATCGTTCCAGTCGGGATGGCATGCTTGCACACCTTGGAAAGGCAAGAAAGAGGCGGCAGCGATGGAGGCGGCGATGGAGGTTGCGGAGTCGCGGGTGGTGGTGGCAGTGGCGAGGGTGGTGGTGGCAGCGGCGGAGAGGGAGGAGGGCAGCAAAAGGCCAAGCAGGACTCATCGCTGATGTAGGACTGCCACCAGCTCTTCGGCTCGCCCGGGCACACTTGCCAGGTGAAGTCGCCGGGGCAGTCGCAAGGCGGCGTCTCGCGGCAGACGGGGTGATTGCCCGGGTATGTGATGCCGCCCACGATGCAGAATCGCGATTGTGGCGCGAAGTCTATGTTGCCGACGAAGCGCGCTTGCTGCGCGAGCGGGACGGAGGCGAGGGAAAGCATGGGATGCGCAGCGCTCGACGCCGACCCTGGAGCTGTTGTGTCGGTGGACAAGGAGACGCCGCAATTGAGACACGGCGGTTCCTGGACGTCCATGGCGACAAAAGAAAACATTGCGCCGCGGATTATAACATCAAAGACCGCCGTATAAATAAATAAATAAAACGGACACGCCAAAACGAGGGGTGGGAGAAGGACAGGGCCCCACCTGCACGAGGGCGAGCAGGATCTTGGAGGACGTGGCGAGGGTGGTGGTCAGCCACAGGCAAAAGCCGCCGAAGCCCTCACCGCTGCCGTCCGCGGCGCCGCAGCGCGGAAGGCCGGGCCGCCGCCGCCTTCAACGGGCTTCGACTTGATGCGTCAGCAGTCCAAGGACAGAATTGGAGCCGAAGTCAGCGAAGACGCTAAGAAGGCGTCAGTGGTGTGGGGGGAATCTGTCAAGACGGGCGAGAATCGTGAGGGTGGCCTGTCGGCAGCGGCGGTGCTGCCGTCGACGCAACCGCGTAAGCTCGTTCGGAAGGTGACGCCGCACCCCAAGAAGCAGTGAGACGCGGAGCGTGCGCCGTCGAGTACGTTTGACGTGAGGTCGGATAGGGCAGACTGGCCGGCAGAGGCGGCCGACACTAGGCAGCATGGTGCCGCCTCGCTGTACTGTTTAGTTTCCACGGGAGGCACCTAGCGCATCATCCGGAGTGTGCGACAACGCCCAAATTTCGGGCGTGAGGGGCGGGGCCTGCCAGAGGGTAGCTCTACGTAGAGGCTCTAGCGCTGCGCGCATGCGCGCACAGAACTGGGCGCGGGTTTTTGCCGGCGGGGCCCGGGGTCGGCTATCCCCCGCGTACCGTCTCCTCTTTCCTCGGTCGCCGGGTGCTCGGCCCAGAGTGTTATATATCATCATCATCCTAAAGTTGATCCTAAGCCCGCGCTCATCTCGCACATGTCGCAACGAGAGACACACGAAATGGCGCTCTCTCCTACGGCTTTTGTACTGGGATGGGACACAGCTACGGCTTTAAGGTGCGCAAGGCCCGCGCCGCGGCTCCGCCACACCTCCCACCGTCGCCGACGATCAAGCAAGGTTCATCGGCCCCTGGGCGGCGGTGCCTCCCGCCCCCAGCAGCCCGCGCGCCCGTCGCTGGCTCAACGCCTCCGTGTACTCCGTCGCCGGCGGCAGCGCCTTCCCCTTGGTCGCGCCCTCCTGGCGCACGCGCTTCGCCGCCCACTTCCGCTCGGCTGCCTCGCACACGTCGCGCAAGTCGCGACCTGATGCGCCGTCCGACGCCGCGGCGAGCGCGCGCTGGTCGGCGGGCGGTAAGTGCGCGGCGTAGAGCTGCAGGATCGCCTCGCGCGTGCTCGCGTCCGGGAGAGGGAAGCGGACGGCGAGCTCGAAGCGCGACGTGAGGGCGGCGTCCAAGTCCTGCGGCCTGTTTGTCGCGGCGATGAGGACGGTGGAGGCGTTCGGGTCGAAGCCGTCGAGGCGGCGCAGCAGCACCGAGAGCGAGCGGCGCGTGGCCTCGTGCATGCCTCCGGGCGCGTCGCGGCTCGTCGCGAGCGCGTCGATCTCGTCCATGAAAATGACGCTCTCGCCCATCTCCGCCGCCGCGTCGAAGACCGCCGCCAAGTTGCGCTCCGCCTCGCCGTACCACTTGGAGACGACCGACTCGAGCGGCAGGACGAGGAAGGGTCGGCCTAGCAGCTTCGCGAGGATGCGCGCCGTCGACGTCTTGCCGCAGCCGGGAGGGCCTAGTCAATATTGAAGGGATGCTGAATGAAGGCGCGCGCAAGCAGCCCCTTGCCAAAGCCGGGAGGGCCTTCGAAGAGGATGGACCGAGCGTGCGGCGGCTCCCCCTCCTTGCGGCGGGTGCCTCGCATCACCTCGCTGTACACCTCCGGGTGGCGGAGGGGCAGCACGAGGCTCTCCTATAGGATACAAGAACGGCACCGTGTGGTCTATGATAGCGCAGTGGCGGAGGTCAGGCACGCGGCTCTCCTCGAGCGCCGCTCGCACCTCGCTGCTGCCTGCGAGACTGCCCCACTCGGGTTAGGGCTAGGGCTAGGGTGAGGGCTAGGGTGAGGGTTAGCTGCTGCCTGCCACGCTGGTTAGCTGCTGCCTGCCAGGCTGCCCCACTCGGGTTAGGGTTAGGGCTCGGGTTAGGGTGAGGGTTAGGGCTAGGGTGAGGGTTAGCTGCTGCCTGCGAGACTGCCCCACTCGGCGTCGCAGCGCGCGTCGCTCGCCGCCGCCTCCCCCGCCTCTCCTCCCGCCTCCCTCGCCCCCCCCGCCTGCCCCTCCCCCCCCTCGGCCCCAGGGAGGATCACCCGCACGCCGAGAGCCTCGAGTCGCTCAGCCGGCGAGGCGCCGCCGCCGCCTCGCCGCACCATGCCGCCGCCGCCCATGCCGCCGCCACCGATGCCGCCGCCCATGCCGCCGCCCACCACCCCGCCGCCACCGATGCCGCCGCCGTCGCCCGCGCCTCCGCCGCGCTCCTCGAACGGGCGGATCACGTCGCCGAAGAAGGACGAGAGCATGCGCGACAGCACCGGGTCGAGGCCCTCGATCTCCGCCTCGACATCGGACGGCGCGCCTCGGCCGGCCAGCGAGCGGCCGCCTACCCGCGCGCTGCCCGAGAGGCACTCGGCGAGCGCGCGCACCTCCTTTGGCCGGAAGGTCGGACAGCCGCCCGCCGGCGCCGCAGGGCCGAGGATCTCGATCTCGGTCGCGCCACGGTGCACAAAGATGGAGAGCAGCGGCGCCTGGCCGGCGGCGCCGCCGATCGAGGCGTCGCTCAGGCTGATGGACTCGCCAGCGCCGGAGTGGGCCTCGGCAGACCATGACACGTTCGGGTACGACCGGATGAGCGCGAGCAGCGAAGATAGCGTCGCTCGTGATGGCACGGTCGCCGTCGCTGAGCAGCGGTTGCCCTTGACGGAGAACTTAACGGAGGAGAGGATGGCATCGACCTCTCGCTCAGTTCGACCGGTGCTCCGCAGCTCTCGCCTCAGCTGCTGGTCGATCTCGCGTGTGGCCGCCGCATGAGCGGGAGACGACTCGGAGGACGCGAGCCTCGAGTTCGAGCCGGAGGCGCAAGCTGTCGCGGTTGCGGCCGCCGCAGCCGCAAGACCTGCGCGTCCTGAGGCGGTGCCGGCGAGCCGCGAGGCGACACATCCCAGGCCGTGGAAGAGAGGTGGGCAGCGGTGCATATAAATGTGCAGCCAAGAGGCCCTGCGCCTAAGTGCGCTCTCTGAGTTGCGCGGAGCGGCTGTCTGCTCAGGGGCCCGCCCGTTCTGCTGCTCGGTGTGAACACAGTTTCTGCGCAACTCGAGATGAGAGTTCACGCGGAGTCGGCTGGGGCTATACCAGACAGGCAGGCGCAAGAAAATAAAAGAAAAGGCGCGACATTTAGCTGTTTGACCCTGTGTGGTGGCGGCGTGCCGTCCTCCCATCCCTCCCTTGGGTTTAGGTGTATTGTTGTTTCCTCCCTTGGGTTGTAGGTATGTTGTTGGCAAACCAAGACACAGAGCTCACACACCTTGGTTTGTCCGTTTTCTTTCTTTCTTTCTTTAACTGAAGTCTTCTGGGGAGCTTGCTTCCAAAAGGGTCAATGGGGGTGGAGTTCGTTGTCGATGGGACGTGTCCAGCGATCGCCGCAACCCAAGGGAGGGGACTGAGCCGGGTTTCTTCAAACAAAAAGTTTGCCAAGGCGCACGCCTCGCAAAGGCGATGTCAACCCTGACGATCGCCGAGCTGATCGCCAGCGGCAAGGGCAAGCCCGACCCAGACGCCGAGGTGCCGCAGGCCATACGCGACGAAATCTTCAACGAGCTCAAAAAGAACCCCGCCAACCGGGTGCGGGCCTGCTGCACGCGCCGCTGGCGGGAAGGGACACAACTCTCCTCAGCACCCTTACCCGCTCGCAACCTCGCGCCCGGCCAGCCGCCAGAACCCGGCCGCCACCCCTCACGTCCGCTTGCTGCCGCCTTGGCCCTCGCACACCAGCGAGACGTTGAGCTGTGTCCGGCGGCCGCCTCCTCCGCCCGCAGACTTGCTTCGACTGCACGGCCAAGAATCCGACGTGGGCGTCGGTGACGTTCGGCACGCAGATGTGCCTCGACTGCTCCGGCATTCACCGCCGCCTCGGCGTGCACGTCTCCTTCTGCCGCTCCGTATTAATGGACAAGTGGACCTACCGGCGCGCTGCTAGATCCCTCTATCCCTCTCCCGTCCCAGTCCGACACCTGCGCACAGCCTCGGCTGTCGCCCGACGCTCCGGAGGAAGCCTCGCCCGAGCCTTGCCCGCAGGCAAATCTACCGCGCCGCCCTCGGCGGCAACGCGCGCGCGCGCGAGCACTGGAAGAGGCGCGTCGCTGCCAGACCGCACTGCAGCAGACCGCACTGTACTAGCAGCAGCGCCGTGCCAGAGACGAAGGTCACGGCTAGTCCTTCCCGACGCAACAGCATGCATGGCACACCACCACCACGCCCGACCCACCACCAAGCACGAAACTCACCACCCCCTCCCCCTCCCCCGCCTCTCCCCCCGCCCTCCAGCCTGGCTCCCACCCCTCCCTTGCACCCCAACCCCGACGGCTGCCCCTCCGCCCCTCGCAGGTGCGGCGTCGACCCGTACCAAAAGATCGAGTCAAAGTACTCGTCCAACACGGCGCAGCAGTACAAGCGCCGCCCCTCAGAGCAGGAACCCCGCGACCTCCTCCACCGACGCGTCCACGACACGTCCGCGACATGGCCACCTCTAGGCGCCTGCTCGAGAAGGACGTCGCTGACGCCTGCTCCCGCGGCCTCACGGCGCTGCCGATGGCGCAAGGCGGCAGCGCCGCCGCCGCAAACGCCTCGGCCGCCGCCACCGCCTCGGCCGACCCCTTCGCCGCGTATCTCAACGGCACGGCGCCCGCGCCCCGTCTCCCCTCTCGCCCTCCGCCCTCCTACCCTCTCCCCTCCCGCCCTCCGCCCTCTCCCCTCTCGCCCTCCCCCCCTCCTCGCCCCAGCCCCACCCCGCCCCGCACCGCACCGCATCGGATCGGCGGCAGCGCCCCCTCCCCAACCACCCCTTCTCTCTCCCCACCAGGCATCTCCCAGGCACCGCAGCCCGTGCAAGCCCCCGCGACCGTCCCGGCGCCGCTGCCCGTCCGCACCGCGCCGCCGCCCGCAGCCGCGCCGCCGCCCCCGGCAGCCGCCGCCGCCGCAAGCGGAGGTGCGAGCAGCTCCGTCGCCGCCTCGCCCGTGTTTGGCGGCGGCGCCGCGGCCGCGTCGCCTTTCGGCAACGGCGCCGCCGCCGCCGCGCCGCGCCCAAAGCCGGCGGCGCGCAAGCCGGGCGGGCTCGGCGCGCGCAAGGTGGAGAGGGGGCCGGAGCGGGGGGAGCGGCACTCGGGCGGCAGCGCGGCCGCCGATGCCGACGCCGACGCCGCTCCGGCCGCGCCTGAGCCGACGCCGCCCTCCGCCGCGCCCACGCCTGCTCCGGCTGCCGCCGCGCCGGCGCCGAAGCCAAAGCCAAAGCCGCTCGCGCCCTTTAAGCCGCTCGCGCCGATCCCGGTGGCCAAGCCCGCGGCGGCGGCGGGCGGCGGCGGCCTCTCCTCGGCGGGGGGCTAGCCGAGACGCCGCCGAGACCGAGCCGAGACGCCGCCGAGATCTTGCAGCGGCCACAGGGACCAAGCCCACGCCCCGGGAGTGAGAGATGCGTGCCGAGGCCTTCACCACCCCTCCCCTCCTCCCCCCCCCCCCCACCTCCCTCGCAGGCGTGGGACGACCTCGAGGCCTCCGCCTCCAAGCCCGCCCCCGCCCGCTCCGCCGCCTCAGCCCTCATGCTCGGTGGCCGAGGCGCCGCCGCTGCCGCCCCCGCGCCGCAGCCCGCGCCGCAGCCCGCGCCGCAGCCCGCCGCGGCGGCGGCGCCAGCCGCCGCTCCGCCGACGTTACTGGAGGGCTCTCCGTTCGTCGCCGCCGCCACGCCTTCGCCGAGCTTCAACCCGCTCGGCGGCGGAGGCGTCGCGAAGGCGGGCGGCGCGGGCGGCAAGCCGAAGCGAGGCGGCGGCGGGGCGAGCAAGGTGTCGTCCGACGACTGGGGCTTCGACGAGGAGGCGGAGGGGAAGGGGAAGGAGGAGCGCGGGGGGAGTGCGGCGTGGGGCGATGCAAGCTGGGACGAGGACACGCCCGTGGCGAGCGCGCCGGCCCCTCCCGCCCGCACCTCCTCGTCCGACGCGTGGGGGCAGCGAGCGCCCAAGTCATCGCTCTTCGCCTACGACGCGCCGTCGCTGCACGCCGCCGCGCCGGTGCCGCCGCCGCCGGAGCGCGAGCCGGCCCCTCCCTCCGGGCGTCTCTTCACACCTCTCGCCGCGGACAGGTGCCGGCGCCGCCGAAGCGCGAGCCGCGCGCGCCCGAGCCGGCGCGGCCGGAGCAGCCGTGGGGTCGCAACTCGCCAGACGCGAGCGCGTCGTTCGCCGCGCGGTCGCAGTACGCCAACGCGACGGCCCCCCTCCCGCACTCGACTGAGAGCGGCGCCTCTCCCGTCGCCCTCTCCGACCGCACGTCTGCCCCCGAGCCTAGGCCCTCTCTGCGGACGACTTCACGGCGGCGCCCTCGCCTGCGGCCGCCGCGGAGCAGATGGAGCGCGACGCGTACATGGAGCGCGACGAGTGGATGAGCAAGTACGCGGGCGCCTCCGCCCTCTCCTCGGCCGACCTCAAGCAGGGCGGCGACGAAGAGGCCCGCCCGCAGAGGCGACACTGCCAGTGTGCACGGCGTCTCCTCACGCCCTCTCGCGCCGAGCAGGTCCGCTCGCCCACCAAGCTGCTCGCCGCCGCCACGCTCGGCGCGGCCGGCGCCGCGGGACGCAAGCTCGGCTCGTGGCTCAAGCGGGAACCGAGCTACTGAGCTGCGGAGCTGCGGGGCTGCGGAGCTGCGGAGCTGCGGGGCTGGCGGAGGAGGGGGATGGCGGAGGGCAGGGCGGGCAGGGCGGGCAGGAGGAGGAGAGGCTTCCCTGCCCTCCCTCCCGTCCGCCTCTGCGTCCGCGCGTCTGGGCTGCTGCGTGGTGGTCGGGGAGGCGCGCGGTGCGGCGGCCTCACGGGCGATGTGGTCCCGATTGGGGCCGTCTCCTCTCCGCAGATGCCCTCCGCTCCGCGTGCTTGCGACTTGGGCCAGAGGCTGCAGCGCACTCTCGCAGCCGCCGGGTGCGAGGCCGCGGTTGCGGTCGTGGAGGTACGAATCGCGCTGAGTCGGCAGACACGCGGGTCGCGGCGTCGCGGGCGCGGAGTCGTGTCTGTGGATGGACAGGAGGGCGAGCGAGAGGGCGTGTTGCGTGTGATTGCGGTGTGCGCGAGGGCCGGAGGTTGGTCGTCCCCGTCCGCGCTACCGGCGGTTCCTGTTTTAGTTTCCTCCGCCCAAAGAAATCGATGTGGTACTGGGAGATCACATCATATGTACGGCTTTAACAAAATGTGGCGGGTGTGGCGCGCGGCCACCGGAACGAGCACAAGCCACAACGGGGAACGGGACACAGAAACGCGCGGAAACCGGTCTCGCGCTGAAAAACATAATTATAGATGGCGCGGGTGTGCGGTGCGCGTAGAGCCGTAGCGGAGAGCCGCATGGAGAAAACGCGGGCGCGGCATAGGTCTCTCTGTGCATTCGGCAGGTAGCATTACGAGGGCTGCGGCAGGCTTACGAGGCCGCGAAGGAGGACTCCTCGGGTACACGCTCTTTGGGATGCTTCGAGTCGTAATGCTGCTTCATCTGGATGTAGTTGACCATCGTACTCTGGAGGGCAACAGTGGGCACAACAGTGATGCCTGTGGTGCTTAGGCCGCCACCAAATTCCACAGACGACCACCACTACCGCACCTCGCCGCCGCCGCTCTCTCCGCGGCCGCTCCATTGCCTCCCGCCTCTCACGCCACCAGCCGGGGGAGCCGCACTTTGCACAGCGGGCAGAGGAAGTTGAGCTTCTTCTCCGCGGCACCCTGCGTTGGAGAGCGTGGTGTGTTGGGGTGGAGGGCTGCTGATCTCTCGCAGCTGCGGACATGGGTGAAGGTTTGGCTCGCCTTTTGCGTGCCGCTCTTCTTCAGTGCAGCCTGCTTGGCCGCGTTCTTCTGCTGCGCCACCTCCTTGGCGTGGCCACGCACCATGTAAGGCCTGCGCCGCCGCCGCCGCGGCCGGCTGGCCCGAAACAAAGAATTTTCTTTGCTTCGCCAAAAAAAAGGGACTGGCGCCTTGAACTCTCTGTTTTCTTTCTTTCAGGGACTGGCGCGCACTGGCACTAACACAGGTACACCAACAAAGAAAGAAAGAACCATGACGGCGTCATCTGAATTCCATCACTCACAGCAGGACTGCAGAAAGCAAGGGGCGCCGAGCTGCATGACGATCTACGTGCACAACGCTGGTAAGCACAACGCTACGCGCGTGCCGGTCGACCGACACAAGCCAGGTTATTGGACCAGCTTTTTTGCCGAGGAGAGGCGGCAGGCCCTGGCGTCTTCCGCGCAGTTCGTTTCCGACGAAGAGTGGAGGGAGCTCGCGGAGGGCATCAACGCCGCGATCAAAGCGTACCACCCTTTCAACAAGCCCTACTTCTTCGCTCCGTGCTGCTGGCCCTGCTGCTGCGTCTACTCGTGTCAATATCCCGGCTGGGTGAACGGAGACATAGCCAAATTGCCGGTGGTCCACCGACTGGCTAGCCGCGGGATCGGCGTGTCCTGGATTAACGGGACGAAGTTCGAACCCGGTGGCGTGGTCCTGCATGTTGCGGCAAACGCGCCAGTACTCCAAGTGATGCAGAGATGAGCCTCTTTGGATCAGATGAGTAGCGCGCGCACTCTCTGAGCAAGACTGAGGTGTAGTACCAGTGTTTCATTTGTGTTCGGGTTTTTTTTCATCATGCTTGCGCGTTGGCCTGTCGCCTGAGAGCGAGAACCGAGATCCCCGGGGACACCGCTTTCTCCCCGACAAGAGGACCTGCTCCTTTTTACCCATCTCACAGTAGAGGTGTCGGGTTTTGGGTTTTTTTTTATTACATATTTATTTACCCCGACCTCTTTTTCTTCTTCTTGAAGCCCCGTCCAGTGGCCGAGGCGTCGCCAGCAAGCGCACGCTTCCCTCCGCCGCCTCCGCCGCCTCCGCCGCCACCGCCACCGCCGCCGCCGGCCGGGCGACCGCGCACGCTCGAGCTCACCGTCGGCTTGAGCCCCGCAACGTCTGCGCTCACCGCCGCCGCGCCGGGGCCAAAGAGCAGGCGCAGGGAGGTCGGGCCGGCGGCGGAGGCGGAGGAGGCCGGCCGGCGCGGCAGCCGCACGCGCAGTGCGTTTTCCTTTGCGTCGCGGCCAAAGGAGACCTGCGCGCGCAAGGGGTCGCAGAGTGTGGGCGCGGCGAGGGGTCGCAAGCCAGATCTCGGCCCGATCTCGATCTCGGCTGCACCTCGAGCCAGAGGTGCTCCTTCTCGCCCCCCGGAGGGCCCTCAGCAGGCACCCGGACCTCGGCCAGCGGCGGGCCTAACCACACGCACTCCGCCGTGAGCAGGGAGGAGGCTCGGCAAGAGCACTCGCCGCGCGGCAGAGGCGCGCGCCGCCGCCCTCCGCGAAGGCGGAGGCGGGCGGCAGCTGCGCCGCGCCGCCAAGAGCCCTCGCGAGCCTCTTTGGCAGCGTCGCCACCGCGTGCGGCGTGTGGTTGAGCCACACCTGTCCACGGCCAGACGCGTCAAGAGGCGCTGCTCATCGCGGCGGTGCGCGGCGCGGCGGAGCCGCACGTTGACAAGGAAGGTGACCTGTTCACAGCACGGCACGTGTGAAGAGACGACCCACCGCCCCGCCCCCACGCCGAGGAGAAGGCGGCCCACCCGCTTGCCCGCGCCTGGAGGCACCTGTTCACAGCGTGCGGCGCTGTGAAGAGAGGCGCCTTGCGGTTGGGCGGCCCATACGCCGCGCGCGGGGCAGAGCACCGCCTCGCCAAGGCAAGGCACCGCCCCGTGCAGCAGCGACCTAATCATGCGTTGAGCCTTGGTGGAGGGTCAACCCGTCGGTCAGGCGCCGCCCCGTGCAGCGCGACCCGTCAAACACAAAGTGCTTCCCGACGCAAGGCCAGCTGACGGCGCCTGAGGAGGGGGACCCCTCCCCGTCACGCGTGCTCGAGGCGACCTCACACACACCGCAGGCTGAGCTGGCCGCCGGCAGACAGAGGCCCGTGCAGCCGCGCCGTCGCGCGCGGGGAGGAGGCGCGCGAGCGAGCGTCGAGGACGACGGTGGGCGCGCCGTGGGCGGAGAGGTAGGTGACTGTGGAGAGGTGCGGGTGCACGTGCACGCCCCTCGCGCGGTCGCACTGGTGCTCGTCCACCTGTCACCTCAGCAGGGCATGTCTGAGGGACGCGTCCTCACGGAAGCCCGCAGGCCGCACGGGGTAGATCGCGCACATCCCAGTGGAACTCGATCCCCTCCGCCCTCGCGCCGTCGCCGCCGCGCACCTGCGGTGAGGCTTCGAGGGTGGCTGCGCCTGCTCGCTCGCACTCCCACAGAGGGACTGAGACCGACGCTCCCAGCAACCGTCCCGCCAATCTCTGGTAGCCGCCACCTGCGCCCACCACTCGGCGCCGGAGCGGGAGGCGTCGAAGGTGGCCCCGGCGGTGTGGCGCTCGAAGACCGCGCGCGCGAGGCACTCGAGCGCGCAACGCGGCGTCGCCGTCGCACCCAGCCAGTTGCTGCCCTCCTGCGCCCCAAACACATGCGCGCAGTCCGTGGCGAGTGCCCGCGCCTGCGGCGCGCCGAGCTTCAGCCAGAGGCTCCTTGGGCGGTAGTCCACGCCGGAGACGCCAGCGACGCGGTGCGCCTCGTCGAGAGGCGGAAGCACTGCGGCGGGTGGCGCGGGCGCCGCGGCGGGCGGAGCTGCAGCCGGCGTCTCGTCGGCAGGAGGCTCGGCCGGCGGGCGGCGGCCGCCCATGGCGACGAGGATATCGTCGATGGAAGGAGCCTGTCCTCCCACAGCGAGCATGTGTGTATGCGGCGTGGTGGTACTCGACGCGCGGCGAGTGTGCGATTCGCGTCTTTTTTTGGCCGGTTTTGTTGTCGAACCCTAAACACTTCAGCCCTCAGCGGAGCTGGGAAGAGGACCGCCGCAAGCCGCGTGGCGTGGAGCGGTTGAGCATCCCTCCGGGGGTCCCTCTGCGCCGGGGAGGCGTTGTTGGAGGCTAGGACGTAAGCGTCCGTGCCCCCTTTTCAAACTCGGGGCCCACTCCGCTACTACGCCTACGCTCGCTCAAACCCGAATTTGGAGGGCCTAAAAGTTTAGGGTGTTGCTGCGCAAAAAGGGGTCGGACACAGGGCGCAGCTCATGCTAAGAGCTAGAAGAGGAGAGAGAGGCGGACGCTGCTGCCGAGGGCGACGCCTCCCTCCCTCCCCGGACCCCGCCCAGCGGCAAGGCGCGGACGACCTGCGGAGGTGCGGGCGGTCCCAAGGGCTTATCCAAGGTGCTGAAGACACACCACGATGACGAGTCGGACCCCATCTCCTATACGCCGACGCCACCGCTGGCAAGAAGCGTGACGCTAGCAAGAAGCGCGACGCATCGACTGCCCTCGACAAGGCGGCGACGGAGGAAGAAGCCCTCGCTAAGAAGCGCAACGCATCGTCTGCCCTCGACGAGGCGACGACCGACGAAGAAGCCCTCGCCGCCGGACAACGCCTCGCCGACGCCGAGCGCGAAGTACTAGAGCTCAACGCCGCAGACTCGCCACCGCCGCCGCCGCCGCCCGAGTCCGGCGGATCCAAGTGGCTTGATCTCGCCGCCGCCATCGCCACCGCAAGAGCAGGCGACCGACGACGGCGAGCAGGGCACGGGCGACGACCCCGACTCCGCCATCGCCCCGGCGGGCGACGGCGCCGAATCCGATCCGGCAGACGGTGCGGCCCTCCTAGACGGCCTTCCTGCGTCTCCAGAGCATGTCGACGCCACGACGGGTGAGTCCACCTCGGAGGGTGACGTCGACATGGATGAGAGGCCCATCTCCCAGCGCCTCGTGCGCCGCTGCCGCGACGAGAGCAAGCCCCCGCCGTCTTACAGTGGCCACGACGGCGAGCCGACGAGGAATCGTCCGACGAGGACGTCGGAGGAGAGAGCGTGGAGGGGAACGTGGCGGAGCAGGCGGGGGGGGCGCAAGCCGCCAGCAGCTCCAACACCAACCCACCTCGCCAAATCTTCTCTTGCTTCATCTGCGCCCAAGACTTCAAGACAGCCAAGTCGCTCTGCACGCACTTCAAGACGCACAACTACACGCCCGTGGACCTCGCCTCCAGTGGGCTCACCAAGTGCGGGTGCTGCGCTCAGATCTCCTCATCCTCAACAAACTTCCGGATGGCTCGGGTAGCAACGGGACGAGCATGTTCTTCAACCACCTCTCGTCTCGCAACGACCCGCTGCACCAGGCCACTCCAAGAAGAAGATCACGCCCAAGGCCGAGTGCACCCGACGCCATTGCCAAGGCACTGCAGCACGCGGCGCCGGGCACACCAGAAAAAGAAAATTCTGGTAACAGGGGGTGATCTGATCGTCCTTCCCCAAATCCTGCCGTGCAGGTGGGGACCCTGTCCTCCTCCCATCCCTCGTTTGGCTTGCCTGTTTTCTTTCTTTCTTTGGGGGTGATCTGGTGCTTGCGAGAGATGTGTTTTGTGTTGCTTTGTTGCTTGTCACTGTGTGAAGAGATTTTTGAAAACCAACAAGAAACACGACTCCCTCTCACAGTGATTTGGGCTCGGCAGCTATAGCTTGTTAGCCCTCAGCCGAACGAAGCTGCTGGGAGAGAGGCCGGTCCCGTAGCCGAGAGAGCCCGCGCCGATGAGTTCGACTCCCTTGACTCCCTTGTCACTGTTGCTTGTGTGGCTTGAGGTTGAGAGTGGCAGCCTGCCATGTCGGACACGCAAAAAAGAATACGCACCCCCACATCAGCCGCCGAGACGCATGACGCACCGGCGCAGCCCTCCAGCTCCCGACTCTGGCGCCACTTTGGCAGACGAGCGCGGCGAGAACACGCGCCATACTGTGAGCAGCACCCTGCTGCCACCCGCCGTCACCAAACGCGGCAGCAAAGCAGCCCAGCCACGCTGTCGGGGCGACACCGCGCTGCACGGTGCCGCTGCCAAAGGCAATCCAGGCGCCTGCCGGCTGCTCATCCAGGCGGACGCAGACATTGACATCGGCTCGAACAGCGACGGTTTCACCCCGCTGATGCGTGCGTGCGAGTACGACGAGCTGGCGTGCGCGGAGGTCTTGCTTGACATGGGTGCAAAAATCAATGCCGTGGACCACAAGGGCCATACCGCCCTGCACTGGGCCTTCATCCACAGCCCGCGCATAACGAAGCTGCTGCTCGAGCACGGCGCCAAGCCGTGCGCGTGGAATTGCCTCAAGTGCAAGCTGCACCGAAGAGGTGCGGGCGCGGCCGACGACGCCGGCGCGCGCGACACGCCACCAAAGCCGCACGACGTCTCGGCGACGCGGAGCCGCGGCGCCGCGCCCATCAAGCCGGTGGACAAGTCGAAGCTGAGCCGCGAGGAGCTGGACCGGCTCGACGTGGCGACGCACCGGCAGATCGTCTCGCACGACCCGCATGACGCCAATTGGATCGCCTTCACTGCCGCGGAGGCGCCGTGGGTGCCGATGTCTGTGGACCCGGCCATGCAGCGCCACTTCGCGGCGCGCGAGTCGATCATCGGGCTGGCGAGCAAGCAGGATGCCAAGGTGCTCCACGAGTGGATCACGAAGAGTGAGGAGCACGTGCACACCTGGGTCGTGCGCGGCATCCTCGAGTCGGAGAAGCGAGCGGCGCACTTCCGCGCCCTCGGCCGTGGCTGGATCTTTGTGCAGCTGAGCTCGCAGCAGGGAGTGCACACGGGCAAGCACGACTCGACGCACCCGGCGCGCAAGATCACGCGCTTCAAATGGTGGTTTGAGGGCGTGGAGCGCGTGCTGCGCAACCGGCAGGACGAGTTCCCCGCGATGCGCATAGCCCCCGACGAGGTCTCTAAGTGGACCACCGGCTACGTGCACGGCGCCGAGCTCATCTTCGTGCTGCGAGGGATGGTCGCGACGGTGTCGCTGATGGCGCGCGTCAAGCTGCGCGCCGACTACCACCGCGAGCACGTCTGGGCGTCAACTGACGAGGTGCAGCAGGCGGTGGAGGCGCGCGAGCCGACGGACGCAGAGCGCGTCGCGCTGGCAAAGAAGGCCGAGGCCCTCGCCGCGAAGAAGAAGGCCAAGCGCGAGCGGCAGCGCGCCCGCAAGGCCGAGGAGGTGGCGGCGCGTGGGGTGGAGCTGGAGCTCAGTGAGCGCGAGCGCGCAGAGGGCGAGAAGGCGGCGACCGCGTTCGAGGAGCTCCTTGCGGAAATGAAAATGTAGGAGAGGTGCGACGACGTCGACGAAGTGCTACCCCTCGCCACCTGAGCAGTCTTCTGAAATTCGCAGTTATGGACAGAGCACACGTGCGAGAGATGGATGTCACGTCTAGAGCAACAGACGGCGCTTTGCATGTGAGAGATGTGTGCGGTAGGATTCCTCGGCTTCGCGCGAAGTGTAACCGCGTGGAAATTCACAAATGGAACGCGTAGTAGTCGCGCTCGCGCGCCGCGGGATGTCGCTGTCGGCTTCATCTCGTTTGATGAAAATGATGGCTCTGGGCCGGCGCGGGGCCCCCCGGAGGCACCGTGCGCCGCGCCGCAGTGCGGAAACGGGGCTCCGGCTCCCACGCTAGTCTCAGCTAGCACCAACTTCCCGAATGATTACGGTTGATTAGAGGGCAGATTTGGAGAGATCTCGAGGAGTACATACAGATAGACCCTCCAACCATCAGAAAACTCCGACCTGATCGGTCGTACTGACCGCCGACAGATCACTCCAGACAACACAGACAGGCCGACGTCTGCACGCGGCCGGCCGGGCGAGAGGCTTGACACGATCCGACCCTGCGACCCTGACGCTGCTGCTCTAGCTATCAGCCATGCACTGCTGACTGCTGCCACAATGTGCGACCTGTGCTGGCCCACTTGGCGGCCTTCCCGGTCAGTGGTGAGGCGCAGTTCAGAGCTGTCGATGGCGCGATGCCGCACTGGTCCCACATTGGTGACACGAGACCACCAAGTTTGCCGGTCCAAGAGAGAGGCACCGGCGCTGTCCTGAGAAGGTGCATGGTCCCTCTTGACTGCGCATGCGCGCGAGGCTGTGTAGGCATAGCCTCGAGAGTGCCAGCAGCCAATCCGAGGTGACGCGCATTGCGCCAGAAGCGTGCACGCAGCTGGAAGGACACCTTCCTACTGGCCGTACGATCAGGTCGTCACTGAATGCTTGATACTAAGGCCGCGAGCTATGCGGGTGATCAATTGTGCATCATGGCACGGTCAGCTGCGCCGACAGGCTGTCGCAAGGGCCAAGGCGTGATAGCATGGCCGCAAGTACGCCGAATTCCCATGAAAACAAGTAAAAAAATCGCGAAAAAAGAAAAAAACTCCAAAAAATCGGCGCCTGCGGCGGGCCATGGGACCCCATCTCCCCCCCGCATGGACACCCTCTGGGGCCCCCGCGCCGGCCCAGAGAATGATGGGGTGTTGCACACACCTCCCGGACTGGGACTCGCGGACACAGCACACAGGACACAGGTTAGACTTCTAGTCTTAGAGAGAGAGCCGCGCGTATTGGGGTATTGTTATGGTGTTATGGCTCTCTGGGCATAGCAGCCCGGCCCCATAACAGCCATAACACCACATGTTATGATGAGAGAGCCGTCCCGGGTCCACGGTGTTATGGCCCGAGAGGCTCCACACCGAACTGCTCGCCGCTGGAATTTTCGCTTCGCCAGCGGCAGCGCCCGCGCGCGCGCGAGGTTCGGCATCGAACGATCGCCAACTATTTTCTCTTTTGCCCTCAAGTTAATTTCAATAACATCAACCTGCCTCTCCTGAGGCCTGAGCGATGGCTTCAGATTGCTCAATCAAGACCCGCCTGAAGACCCCCCCCCTTCCCAGTTGCACGCAATTGCTTTTCGCGTTTTTACACTAATCTTCTGCGAGCAAGCCTTGCTCGCACATTAGTAGTTAAACTTGCGTGAAGTTGGAGGGGGTAGTAGCTACGCGGCGCGTGGCGGGCGCTCCAAAAGAAGAATTTTACCGTCGCGAAGAAACACCGGGTCCGGGATACGCGCGGCGGGGCTACAAAAGAAAAAAATCATGGGACACACACAACAGCTGTTAGTTATTATGCTGGCTGTCATAACAACCGGTGGGAGCTGGGAGGTGTTATGAGTGCTATGAGGTGTTATGAGGTGTTATGAGGTGTTATGGTAGGGTGGGCATAACCAGCCATAACAGCGATGGAGGTGTTATGAGGTGTTATGAGGTGTTATGAGGTGTTATGAGCAACCAGTCATAACAGCCATAACACCTGTTGGCCGCTCTCATAACCTTGACTGGGGTCAAGATGGTAGGACTGGGAGTGCGCGACGTAGTGGCGCACAGGGGTGGTGAGGGACGGCATGCACCGCCCCCTGGGGGTGAGGTCTGAGTACTGAGAGAGGAGTGCGGCGTACACGTATCGCGTCGCGGACGGAGAGACTGCCCCAAACCCGCGAGGCTGGCACGCGGCCACAAAACCTTTGTGCCAAAGAGCGGGCAGCCTCTGTCTGGCCGAACGAGCGCTGAAGCCGTCGCGGGGCGTGTGTGGGCCCGCCCGCGACCTATGTTGTCAGCGTCAATCCGACGGACAGCCTCGAGGGCGAAACGGCAGCCGCCCCTGACTGACATTCCTTAAGGTGACGCTGAGCGCGTCGGCACCGCAGCGGCGGCGGCGGTGGCACCGGGCAAGGCTGACCAGGCAGCCTCCTTCCGCGTCTACACCAGCACCAGGCAGGCGCAGCGGCGGGGCTCGGAGCAACATTATGAAAAGAAACTCACCTAAATTCTCTTTTTTTCCGCTCCAAGCCTTCCATCCCGGCCCCGGCCAGTTCGCGCGCAGGAAGACCAGACCACACTGACTTGACCACCTGATGCTAGAGCAGGGCGCACTCCCTTCGGAGGCCGGCACCTCGTCCCCGATGCTGCGACGGCTCGAGTATCGCCGCTTTGGCCACACCGGTACGCCGCTTTGGCACCCCGTCCCCACGCCCGCGCGAGAGGCTGGTCCTCGCCTGGCAGACGGCTGACGGGCGGCAAACTCGGCGGCAGGCGTGTACCGAGACGTCACCTTCGCGCTGCTCTTTGGCCTGCAGCTCGTCTGCGTCCTGACCATCGCCGTGGTCAACGGAGGGCGAGTGCACGCGTCACCAGCCGGATCGCTGCCGCCGCCGCCGCCCCCGCTCGGCGCGTTAGAACCGCCCGCGTCTGCGTCGAGGCTGTCTGCCGAGATGCTCCTCATCCTCGCCGTCGCCTCCGGCGTCGCCGCGCTGCTCTCTGCCCTCTGGCTGGTCATGCTTCAGACGGGAGCAAGGTGATTAAAGTCCCTCCGCCAGCAGTGTTTCGGGCCCCGCACCGCCGCACCGCAGCGACTCGCCCTCTTGGGCCGCCCACCCCAGCCCTCTGCCGCTGCACCGCCCCAGCCCCCGCC